ACTGAAGGAGAAGAAGAAATGGTAACACAAGAAGATATTAAATGCCAGCAGAAGCTGTACCATATAATCACAGTTGGAACACTGCAATAGAGTGCAAAATAAAACAGTGGGCAGCCTAGCTTTAATTTATTGAACTTCAATATATGTTAATATATTAAGTTGTATTAAATGATTTTGGGTAATCTTTAGTTTACATTTGGTTGCTCTTTTGGGAGTTTGCTCAAATGAAGTGAAGAATTTCATTTTAATCCAAACAGAGCTTGGATATTTATTTGACTCTTCCTCAGAAGCAAAGCTTTTAAATTTTATTGTAATTTAGTTTAATACAATTTTATTATGCTAATTAATTGAATTCTTCTGAAATGCAACCTTTTGCTGAATTTTTAGTCTGACCTTGTTGTTACCTTGCAGATCTCTCAAACTTCATTGAAGTATCTTTGTTTAAAAAAGAGTATACTTTTGACTATATAGCTTATATTTAGATTTTCCACTTTATTTCATTTTCTGTCATAGAGGAGTTAAATTACTCTCACAAAGTATGAAATTAGTAGCAGGTATTGATCTAATAAAACTTTTAGTTCATGAAGTCAGAGACTGAATTTTTTAGGGGTTCAGCAGAATCTTTCTTTGAACTACAAGCAGGAGACTTTTGGAGTTGAGATGCTCTTGGGAAATTGTAAAGCACTTATGTTCTTGGATTTTCTGGATCTTTCTTGCCTGAGAATTGCTTAACTGGAGTTCTGTTTCTGTCATGATCCTCAGCAGACTAAACAGCTAGAAATGTGAGATCAGCTTTGTACATACAGCGTGTTACTTCCAGTTTCAGGCTTGGTCATCATTGTCTTTGATGAATTTTCAGCAAACTCATCTTGATTTAGTTACTCTCTGATCATCTGAGGTAGTTGACTTTCATCTTCTAGCTGTGCCAGGATTTTCTGCGTGGTCTGAAAGCGTAAAGGAGTCCATAAAACATTGGTTTATCCTCAATCTCCAACTTCTTCAGGTGTAAGAGCCTTTAAATCATTCTCATCCCTGAACACAACTTTGATTTCTTTAGCTTTTCCCGAGTCTGTCTATCTTTAGATCTGAAAGACTGCCAAAATGTATTTATGCTATTCCTTGACTTATGTTTAATTAAGATGGGAGTAATTTCTCCTGTAATTAGATGTTTGCATTTGAAGTTTTCTTGTCTCTTCCCAAGTAATGAAAAATGAAAGCAGAAAGACTCTGCTACCTAAAGTTTCCAAATTTCTCACTATTAAGTTATCATCAGAAATTTGAAAATTTAGTTTATTTGATAATCTTATCACTTTCTGTTTACTGGATTGAAATGCTGCTGTTGTTCTTTGTCCCCTGCTGACGTGGTTTTATTTTTATTTGCCTGTGTGCTAGGAGTCTTCTTGGTGATTGTCTTCTCTGTGTTAAAAAAATTTGTGGCAGAAATAATGAGAAGTTATATACATATTTTCATATAAGGATCAGCATTTTTTAAAATGGAAATTATCAGTAATTACAGAATCATAGAATGTTAAGGTGTTGGAATGAACCTTAAAGATAATCTAGTCCCAATCCCCTTGGCCATGGGCAGGGACCCCTCCCACTAGACCCAGGCCTCATCTAGCCTGGCCTTGAACACTGCCAGGGTTGGCAAATTGCAAAATAAAAATTGGAGCAGAATTCATGTGACTAATAATTCAGAAAATGTTCTACTGATCATGGCAGTGTTTTTTAAAAAAGAACATGGAAGCAAAATTCATGGGAGTTAATATTTACCTTTCCAAATAGTAACTTTAAATATTCAGGGATTTCTATGCTAGCATTGGTTTAGACCCTAATAGTCTACATGTAATTTTTTTAATATTAATAATGGTTTTTGCATATATTTGTGGGCATGTATTTTGCAGGGTGTAGTGCAATTGAATTTGAAAATGAAAAGCTTTTTTAAAGGGTTTTCCTTAAGCCGTCATTTAAAAGGTCCTAGTTTGCACGGATGGATTTTGAATGTACAAGTACACTCATGTAACAATTGATGTTTCTCTACTTTTGTACATTTTGAATGTACAAGGGCATTCATGTAACAATTGAATGTTTCTCTACTTTCCTGCTAGTGAGTACCCTAGGTTAATTTACCATTCAGAAACACTAAAATGCTAGCAGTGTGAATATTCTATATTATTTGCCTTTGTAACACCAGGTAACTTGTTTGTGGTTTGCATGTTCATTTTCTGCTTCACCTGCTGTTCATAGACTTGATAACAAACCTAAGGAGTTTGTTGAGTACCAAGAACTGAGAAGCATAATTCCATTTTGAATATTTTTGAAGTTTTTTTGTTTGCTTGGGTTTTTTGTTTCATATCACTCTAAACTGTTTATGTATAAATTAAGTTATAGAGGGTTTATGTTTGCAAACCCTGCTAGGCTTCGTCATCATGCAGAGTGAGCTTAGTTATCTTCATTCACATGAAGTAAAGTTGGCTCTTCCTGTATTTAGTTCCATGAAGTAATTGCATTATCAAGAAAAGAACTGGGTTTAGTAAAACTGTAGCCTGTAGCTTCTAATAAGGCCAATGAATTACAGTAAAATCATTATCACATTGGTACTGACAATCTTGGTGTATGAATACTGCAGTGAAAAAACATCTAGGAAGCTTTGCTGGCAAGCAGTTACAGACTGTACAGTTTCAGTAGAAAACGTGCACAATTAGCTGCTTCTGGCAGCAAAATGTGATATAGATTAAAATGGATGTCTAATGTGAACAGCCAGTTCTGTGTGTACTGACACAATTTCATTCTTTTTAAAATATATAAAGTTATTACGAAGAATGTATCTAGGTAATGTGTGTGTGTATAGAGCTATACATAGATAGCATTGAGATATATTTTATATATCGCTAATTATTTCTTATTCTTTCATAATTATATAAGTACATAGATTGTTCATGGTAGCTAAAGCTTAGCTGTTTCCAGAATGGTGCAATTAATGAGAATACTCCAAACTTTGAATTCTCTGTGATATAGCATGCTTGCAATTGTGAGTTAAAACCAATTAAAGATATAGTGTAATAAAAACCTCTCCAAAAGCTTAGCACTCTTTTATTTATAAATCAATAAATTGGTTTGATTCTTAAAATTGTAGAAAGCAATAAAAATCCCAAATGGTGGTGTAATATTATGGTTTACAAAGGACATGGCTTTTGTTATATTTTGAATGACAGATATACAACAGAGCAGTAACTTAAAAAGTCATTCTTACAGTAACTTTTCACTTTGAAATTAGTTAAGTATGTCATTAAACCAGAACTTGAAATGCATTCTTGGAGAAAAATTAAGTGTGCATTCACTAATTATCCACCTACCTACTGTTTAGTTTGAACAGCACAGAGTAGCTACTGTCCATCCTTGCAGGTTGTCAGTAATTACTGAGATAATAAAGAGCTTGCACATTTGATGTTGAGAGTCACAGCTGAAGGAGAAATTATTCAACATGTTGCCTTATTCTTAAATTTTAACTGTAATTGTTCAGCTTATTCACCATCTGTCCAAATGACTCATGCCTCTGGCTGTACTTCTGCCAAAGTAAAGATTTTGGACAGTCACAGTATTCATAACAAAAATGTGAAGTGTTATGAAGTGAAAAATGAGATGAACTTTAAGTTATCTGTCTGTCTTCTTTACATTGTTATAGATGTAATTTATTAAAATCATGCTGTTCAAACTTTTTAGACAAATACTAATTGACTTGGAATAGACCTTCATGCTTCCATTCCATACATCAGAAAGCACATAAATAGATAGATTTATCTCTTGTTGAGTACAAATATACATATAAGTTACAAGTTGTCTGTTGGATGTTATGGCTAGTAAAGGACTAAATTTCTTCATTACTGCATAGTATAGAACCATTTAGGTTGGAAAAAACCTTTGAGATTCTCAAGTCCAGCCATCAAGCCAGCACTGCCAAGTCCATCAGTACACCCTGTCCCTAAGCACCACGTCTGTGGGTCTTGGATCTCTGGTCACCTCCAGAGATGATGACTCAAGCACTTCCCTGGGCAGTCTGTTCCAATGTTTGACAGCACTTTCCATGGTGAATTTTTTTGTAGTATCCTCCCCTGGTGCAACTTGAGACCATTTCCTCTGGTCCTGTCATTTGTTAACTGAGAGAAGAGACTGACCCCCACCTCACTACAGTCTCCTTTTGGGCAGTTGTGGAGAGTGATAAGGGGGGACCCTGAGCCTCCTTTTATCCAGGCTAAAGATCCCCAGGTGCATCAGCCACTCTTTGGAAGAGTGGCTCTAGACCCTTGACCCCTGTAGGCCCAGCTTCATTGCTGGTCACTTCAAAGAATGATATTATTATAGTATTATTTATAATTTTATTTTATACAAAGCTTTGTTATTATGTTATTATGTATCATCCAGGATGATACAACCTAAAGATCCCAATCAATTTTGCAGCCTGTAGTGCTTGGTAAAATATCAATACAAAATATGAAAAAATAGATAGCTAGAAACTATCATGCTATTTTAAGCAAGAGCTTGAAAATGTTAGGACATATTAACACCTTTTGTCTGACTTCAATCTCTGGGCTATTGTCTAAAACAACTAATACAAATATAGGCTTCATATCTGCAAGCACAACTGTTAAGTCTTGTTCACCTCAGTACGTCATCTACACTTCCCAGAAGTTACAACACTGGGAATCCTATGTTCGTTTTCATCTAAGTTTTTTCTTCCTGTATCTTGAGGTCTAGTCCATTCAAAAGAAAGACCTCTTTTAATAACAACAGGGGCTCTGTTAGCAGGGACATACCTCTGCCTTGTACCATGTTAGTTCTGTTCTCACAGAGATTAATTTGAGGTAGCAGAGGTATAAAACACCTCTTCCAATGTTTTTACCAGCACCTTGCCATTTTTCTGTTAGTTATAATTAAACTCATAGTATTAATTAATATGCTTAAAAAGCTGAATGTCCTCGTTCTTTCTTTTGTTGCTTAAGGCCATGTTTGATGCTTTATCTGATCTCCCTGAGTGGTATGGTATTAAAGAAATGCAAGCAAATTGGATAGGTGACTGTGTTGGGTGCTCTCTTGACTTCTTGCTAAAGGTAAGTCAGAAATTGCATTTGCTGCTCTCTTGGTTGGGCTAACTGCAACCCCTGAAATGTGTGATAGGAATGGATTTTCAGATCCTAAAAGCTTGAAACCTCCTAAAAAAGATGATTATTATTATTCATGCACAGACGAGCACAGATTCCTGAAGAACACTACTTGAGGGTTGAAGAGATACTTCCTGCTATCCTCCTTAGGAAAGGGTTTGTGTGTTCAAGTGGATGCAAATTGGCTGTGTATATTTATGCCAAAATACATGCCAGCTAATAAGCTTCCCTGAAAGCCAGATTATCTGTGCCAAGTGCACTATCAAGTGGCACTGCACATGTCAGCTAGGGTCTAGTTGGGCTTTTGCTTTTCTCTGCATGGCACCTTCTCTGTCAGACCCAGGCTGACCTCAGGCAAACTGCTTTGCTTACATTTGTCCATTATTTCACTTACTGTATTCCCATAAGTAAAATAATGGAAACAGCACTATTAGGTAGTAACAGAGCTACAGAGAAGTCTAGATAGAAAGAAAGGAAAAGAAGAAAAGGAAACCTGAAAAAAAAATTATCTACAGAAGGACTTCAGATTTCCCCTTTTTTGTCAAGATATGAGCAAGGCTCCGTGAAAATGATAGTGACAGAAGAGATTTTCAGAGATGCTGATCAGATTTCAGCCCTTGTACTTCAAAGCTTTATTGTGATTATTTACTCTGGTCTAACATTTTAAAAGTGACTTCTTATTTTAAAGTACTGAATTTTTCAGAACTTCAAATTGAGACAAATTAAACCTTTTAAATACCTCTGATTTACACCCTGCTAAAAGATGCAGTACTTGTATTTGTATATATAACTTCGTATTAAAGTTGTTTTTATCAATTGTTTCTGAAAATTTATATCAATACTTATTACAGAAAAAATCACCTTGCAAGACTCCCATATACTCCACAGTTAGTTGATCTAAGATATAAATCTTGTTGATAGTTACAGCTGGTAATTCTTTGAAAGTCTTTGAAGTTTATTATTTACATTTTATGTCCAGTTGTTTGTTGTACCACCTTTTATTATTTTATTTCTGTATGTAATTTGCAGTATTCACTTCATCAGAGAAATATGGTGTAAAGTCATATTGTAGCTGAGAAAATCCAAAATTCTCTTCAGGTTTCAAAGGCAACATCTCCCTCCAGTTTCTTGGAAGCAAGGCATGCATATTACAAGTGAATATAAGGATTCTGGGTGGCTTAGCCGGGGATTGAGTCTATCTCAGTGGCACAGTGCAATATTACATACGAGATTAGAATGATATTTTTATAGATATATTTTGTTAAACTAAGGCAAAACTGTAAAGCAACTTTATCAAGGCCTAAAAGTAAGTTTGATTCTGGAAAACATCTATAGTGGGAATGTGTCTGGCTTTGGTATTTGGATCTGTGTATTTCTGTAGGGTGATGTAGACTCATTAGCTGTATGAAAAGGAAGGGGAATCTATAACCACCGCACTGCCAGTGGGAATTTTTTTCTGCTTTTTTTCAGGTTAATGGCAAAGTCACAGAAGAGAAGCTAGCAGCTTACACCTATACACCTGAAGCCATTTATGGAGCTTCCCATTTATATATCTTACCAAATCACAGACTGCTGCATGGGAATAGCAGTCTCAAGGAAGTCTTTCAGAGGGAGTTCATCCCGGGGAAAGGTGGTATTTTTCTCATACTGCAATTTGTTGTGGAAGAGCAACAATTATAAAGAATGATCTTTAGAGAATGCGCATCAAGCTGAGCAGGAGCTGTTCCTGTTGAGAGCCTCCTATTGTTTGATTCTTGCTATGTCACACAGTGTCACATCAGCCTGTCCTGGCTTCAGATGTGGCAAGAGCAGCTCTGCTAGAATTCTTCTTTTTATAATAGTTGTTACACTTCATAGTATATAAAAGCAATGGAACAGATTCTTGTTTCCTCATCCACCAGAAATGAATAGTCCAAATTTGACTGTGTCAGCCCGTTGGAAAATCTCATGTCTGTATGGTAGGTTGTCATTAGCAGAAAGACAGTAGAAGTAATTCTTGCACCAGCAATGATTTCTTCCTGTCATAAGGAATCTAAAAAAGTCAATATATCACTAATTTTTTTTGTTTTAAAATTATTTTTAAATAAAAACAGATTCTTTGGTTTTATCACTAATACATAGCAAAGTGGAAAACTGATAGATAGTAAAATAATACTCTACTATGCAGATCCTTTGTAAATACAGGACTCTAATGGAGTAAATTCAGAGTATCCCTATGGCAGTTCATGAGTTGCACAGTCAACTGATAATGCTTTAAGTGTTGTTAGCTGCTTTCCTGAAGTCTCCAATTCTGCCTGTATTTAGCATCCATGGTCTAGTATTTTTTTATTGTTTGGAAAACCTGGAAATGACAAGAGTAAATATAATATGTTTTGTTTCTACTTCAGGCTGGTGTTCAATATTTTGTTTTTCCCTTACTGGTAAAGATGGGGCTTCATTATCTATATAACATCTGATTTCAACAGCATCTTGTGGAAAATTGTGTTGGTTGTAGAGAACCTGCTTTGTTAAGCACTTTATTTCTACCTTAAAAAAGTTTGCTTGCCAGTAGAAAGAAACATGGAGCCTGATTGTGTTGAGTACATAAAGTCCGTGTCTAAGAGATGAGAAAAGCTTGGGGAATTTTGGGGAACAAATTTGCAGTTCTTGCAGTTGAACCAAGTCAAAGCACTAACTGCACAAACACACATTCATGCATGTGCCTGTACCTTTGTTGGATCTTGTGCCTTAAGCCAAACCACAAAAGTGCAAAATTTGCTTTTAATAAGGACAATAGTACATTTTTATATTGGTTTTTAAGTGGAAATACTTGTAAAAGCTTTTGTGTGTGTCTGTTAACAATAAGCTTAAAACTTTTGTCTGAGTTAAATTACAAAACACTGAGTTGAAATAATGACAGCCAAAAGTACTCAAAAAAGAGGCACAATTTCACATATCTCTGCTATTGTGTACTCCTGCTACTTGTGAATATACTTACAGACATACTTCAGTTGAAATTAGCTGAGATTGTCATTTTACATATGAAAGGCCAACAATGGCATTTAAATAAAAAGAAATTTTGGATGGCCTTATATAGACCCTATTCTCACATTAACCAAGACTTTAAAAAAAAAATTCCTCAGTAACACTGAAATTTTAATTTAATTAAATGTAATTGTTTTCTTTTCAATGGGCATAGTCTTGCAATTCTCTTTCTTCACTGTGTTCTCATTCAAATAATTAGGAGGGTATGGTTTTATGTTTTCTAGGAGAGAAAAAAGAGTAATTGTATAGCAGAGTAACTGAAAGTTCTAAAACCTTTAGTCTTGAAGTACATGTCTGTATTTTAGGCTACTATTATTTAAATAAATGGAACAACCAGTTGTCAAACATTCAATTTAATTTTTTTTTTTGCCTAGAAAAATGTATGTTAATTTAGAATCTGGTAAGTCTAATGGTGTGGACAGCAGGAGGTGCCTGAGATAAAGATTTGACCATTATTAGTTCATTGTCTCATTATAATACTCTGCATACATTGTCTTACACTTGTACCTGTACCACTCTCTTTTTGGTTCTGATGATAATGTTGTGAGCAAATGAGCACAGGAAAGAGCACCTTCATAAACTGTAGTTATTATTTTGGGTTCCAGCATAAAATGAAAATTATTGCTGGGTGGAAGAGAGAAGTTATTTTTAAAAGCAGTGTCCTGCCCACTCAGCTTCCTGCTCATGACGCTTTGTGGTTAGTTGCTTTTAAAAAATGAAATTGTCCCTTTTGTGCTTTTTTTAAACAGAGGAAAACTGCGTGTGGTGGTTGGAATGTGGAAATTTTCTTTATAATAGGAATACCTCAGACACCTAAAATTTGGAAAAGTAGTAATCAGAAATAAATAAATGTATCATTTGTGTTAGGAAGCATGATGAGATACAGCAGCTCTGTTCTCAAAATTGCTGTTGCTTTACTTCAAGCAGTTTTTATGCATTGCAATGCAAGCCTTCATAGCCTCAGCTTAGCTATGAAGAAAGGTGAAAGGAAGCTCTTAGCAGCCCATATTTTAATGATTGTAATTATCATAAGCTTAAAGGCACTTAAAAAGTTAGAAATAGGCCCAAATTGAGATCTGGGGTTCAAATCCTCAAAATGTGAAGTATGCAGATTTGAATTTCTTCTTGCTGAGCCACCCAATCTGCACATGGTAAATCAATTTCAGCTTATTAGTTCTCTAATAAAACCCTTAATTCTCTTCTCTCCTATTTCCCCTTGCTTGGACATCAGGTTCCTCATCTGTAATTTGAATATGAATATTGATATTAATATTAATATCCTGTTTGGAAATCAGTGGGTTACTTAGATGGCTTTTTAGCCCAGGTTAGAAGAAAAGATGTCACATGCTTTGTAGTTCTTCTGTAAGAAATTAAATCATAAGGACATATGCTCCCCTGCAGTTTTATCTGATTTTGGTGGGATTTTGTAGCATTGTGTGCACTGTATGCTAGTACATAATTCAAGGCTTAATAAAACCAGTTTGTACAACTTTGCAGCAGCCTGTATTTTGATCAATGACTCAATTTTTTGTTATAATCCAAATCTTACTCTGTTTTTATAAAGGTGCTTGTTGTAAGTATATTTTCTAATCATGATAATTTATCAGTCTGACTTAGTGAGCATTTTAATACATCTGAGCTTTTTTGAAATGTGAATAGGTTTGTCACTTTCTTCTTTTTTAAAGAAAACTGTTATTTAAAATTCATATAAGTTTAAAATAAACTGCATTGTAATAGTAAGTGATGTTCTTAGCATATCTTCTGTTATATTTTACTTATTTTACTTATATCATTATATTTGTTTTCAGACTCCCTTACTTCAGTGACAGCTGTGAATTTGCTTACCAATCAGGAGATTCCTGTAGTCATCTCAGCAAAAACCAATTTTGATAATTATCTTGATACTAAAATAGGTATGTGACATTAGATATTTAAGTGGAGTAGTATGGTTTTCTGTTGCTGTGTTGGAGCACAGATACTGTTGTAGTAAATATTTGAACACAGAGGCTATCTCTTCTGGATTTTGGATTTCTGTTCTCCATTAGGGAAGAAGGAAGGGAAAAGGAGCTATGTGGAATCTATGTGGGTGAAGAGATTTACAGGATGATAATTTTAAATGGAAATATTATTACATTAGTTCATTTAATGAGCTAAGTTTGAGGATCTGCATGTCTTAAAAAAATTGGTTACCTGCAACATATGTGTTTGGCTGTCTCTCACCATCCTTAATCAAAACAGAACTGTACCATTTTTTGGCAAACACCCTAACTTTTGGCCTTTTTTGTGTGTCTTAAGTTTACATAAATTGTGTATATGCTTATAGAGAAATGCTTCAGATGGTAAATGTACAAAATTTCCAACTTTGACTTTTATCTAGTAATATTTGTTCTGAGGCCAGTAAAATAGTTCAGGATAGGTAATAATTGTTTTCAGGTAGTCTTGGGCAGTTATCTTAGATCCTTTATCTCTCAAGGTAGCATTCCCATAATTTAAGGCATCTGATTTAGAGTTGAGGATTGATTAGTGGAGGGGAAGGGTGTTGCTAGAGGATGCTGAATTGCCTGCAGTGAGCTTCTGTTCCCAAAGTTGTCCTATGAATCTGCCTGTCTTACTCCTTTCCTGGATATGGAACCTGGTCCCAAAACTGGGCAGCTAAGTACATCCTCTTAGATGACATGATTCTCCTAATAAATCAAAGTAGAAATTGTACTAAGTTTTAAAAACCATATCCATTTTAATCTGCACCTCCCCAGCTCTTTGTTTACTCTTGTGCTTTGCCATGGTCTCAGCTGCATTGAGAAGGCAATGTGCAGTGCCAGTCCTAATGGGAGATGGTTATGTCTTCTTCCCTTTTTCCAGTGCATTCCTTATCCCTTAACTCCTGCTGTTGCCTCCCTGATGCTGATCCTGTCCTGAGGCTGCTGCTTTCACTGCTGTCAATATTGCCATTTTTGCACAACTGGACTGAATTAAACCAGCTGACTGTGCAAAAATGTCTTGGATGACCCTCACAGGGCTGATGGAAATTACCCATTTGGGCTCTCTACCTTGCTTATAACATGCCCACATCTTACGCTTTAGATTTGAATCTGGTTTTGACAAAAAAAGTTTTTCCTCATATAGAAGAAGCCAAATGACTGAGATACCTAATCTTAATTTTCCTTAAAATCTTCCAGTTTGCTGGCACATACCTTGGCCTTATGTCTGCTGGAAACAGCCCAGCTCTTCATGGGAAGCTGGGGGTGCCAGCTGTTGAGCTTTGCCAGTGTACATTAATAGCATCATCTTTGCAAAAGGAAGCAGACCAAAAAGTGGGACCTGCTTTTTTCCACTTGTAGAGCATATTGTGAAGTCACCTGTTGCAGACTGCAGAGCTCTCTGACAAATTAAGATGCAAACATTGTTCTTGAAATGGCAAGAGTGTACATCTGCTGGGAAGATAAAATAGCAATTTTGTGTTTTTCTAGTTAAGGGGTTACTTGTCACAGGGGAGTTTTATTTGATTTTCTTTAGTCATCTGCTTCCAAACTTCCACATATTGGCAGAGTTAAAGTATAGCTGGCATTTCACTGCCTGAACTAAGACAATTGTTAAGCTGGTTTAGTTAATAATCCCAATGTGGTCAACAAATATTTTGAGAACTTTGTGTGTAGTTTTCACCAACTTAATGCTGGCATTGTCTTGTTAGAATAAGTTTCTTTGCATTTTAAAGATGACAGTAATTGCAAGATGGTTCAAATTATTAATTAAACTACTGAGGGAGAAAAATATGCAGAAAGATGTATCTCTGTGTAAATAATAAATCTGTTAGTATCTTAATATTGTTTGAGAATACATGTGATAATAAAGCAAGCTAAGAAATTTCTGAAGTCACTGTGAAACCCTCCAGAGCAGAATTAAAATGCATGACTGTCCCAAATAATAAAATGCAGAGGGAAGGAGAGCTTTGGGAACCTTAAATAGTGTGAGTTGTGTAACTCATCTGAATAGCTGTAGGAAGTGTTCTCACTAGTTATAGTCTGAATAGCAAACTGATGTTATTTTAATAGTTTCCCTGAGTTTATAAACAAATCATGTCTTTCATAGTAAGTTAAAGGAATAGTAATGTTTGAGACTGTTGCGTTATGGTGAAACTAGATGACTTCTAATTCTAATAATATTCTATTATTTCATAATTCTATGAAATTAGAGATAAATCAATATTGAAACAGGAAGACTCTGCTCTTTGTTGAGCCTTTGATTATCATATTAGCAAATAGAATTAAAATTCCTATTGTTTAAATATGTTATATTTAGATAATGTGGTTATATTGAAAATTCTATAATTCTATCCAAATTTTATGGCTTTATTTTTAGTTTTTTCAAAACCATAAAATGTTCAAACGTTTCTGAAAGAAGGACAGGACATTGATGAATGTTTGAATTACAGAGGAACTGAGAAATTACTGAGTTGCGATTATTTCTGTTTGAATTTCACTGCTTAAAGAATACAAAAACATTTTTACTGTTCTTAAACCATTTTCTTTAACTCTTTTGGGACAATGTAAGTCATTATAAAGAGAGTGCCACAGAAATGAAATGGTTTTTCATCCCTTCTAGGAATTCCTAGTACTAGTGCAGAAGATGCTGCAGTAGCTAAGAATCTGGGCATTTCTTTCACTGAAGTCATTGAGACATTGCCAGATGGTTTGGAGAAGGTCATTAATTCTGCAGAGGTAGGTATACAAGTATGGATTTCTTTCCAGCTTACAGTAACAATGCAAACTAAATCTCTTTTCTCAAGAATGCCAAATACTTTGTATGATTAAACAGATTTTTTTGTTTGTTTTTTTTAAATCAAGCCAAGCTTATTCTACCAAATTTCTGGGAGTAATTTAATGATGAGATATGTTGGCCCTGCTGTATCAATAAAATAACCTTTTTCCTTTTGTACAGGAGAGGAAGGTTGAACTTTCCTCTGTATTGGTTTCAGTTCTATAATGGAAACTGAACAATTTAACCTATGTTAAAAGTTGACTCTTATTTCATAACCTCGATAGAATTTTAACCTAAACATGAACATACTAATCCTTCTTTCACAAATTCATTGAAATGTGGCTTCAGCCTTTGTGGTATCATGGATGCCTCAAGAGACATAGGAATCTTATCTTGAGATATAGCTCTTGAAAATATGTGTTTTAATAGCAGACACTTTAATTCCCAGGTAGGGTCTAAGTGGTTAAAATGGTTATGAAAGCAAGAATAGAAAAACCTGAAATGAGCACAGGAGAAGGAAAGCAGTTTTCATTTGCATTTCCTCAGTCTCTACCTTATGTTTGTGATAGAATTCTGAAAGTTTTGGCATAAGGCAACTAGTAAAGATATCAGCTGTAAATGCAAATATCTACCAATAATGGCTGAAGGGGTCTACAAGACTCAGCCTTCTTCTGTTCAGATCATCAAGAAGATAATCCTTTAAGCAAGAAGGTTCAAATGAGCAGCTGGTATGTGAATAGTCTCTTGGATAGCAGGATGTTAACCAGTGGTAAGAGAGAAATTATGATTTTATTTGACTCTCAGAAAACTGACTGGTTTTGTTTGTTCTTTCACTGACAGCAACTATAATTTTTTCTTTCTTTTTCCACGTCTCATTTTTTGTTTCTCTTTCAATCAGATCACCGGCATGACTCGGCAGGAGGCTTTAAAAGCTATTACTCAGCAGGCCAAAAATAAAAGAATAGGTGGAGACCTAACAAGTGACAAATTGAGGGACTGGTTAATATCGCGACAGCGCTACTGGGGAACGCCCATTCCGATCATTCACTGCCAGGCATGTGGCGCTGTCCCCGTGCCCTACGAGCACCTACCTGTGGTGCTGCCCAACGTGACCACCTTCACAGGAAAGGGAGCCTCACCTTTGGAAAGCGTCCCAGAATGGGTGAACTGTTCCTGTCCAAGGTAAGTCAGTGCTGTGTTTGGTGGGAGAGATCACTTTGCACCTGCCTGTTTCTTGTGCGCTCTCCCAAAGTGTTGGTGAGTGATTGCTCTGAGACAGGATACTACTCCAAAATAAGGTTCAGTTTGACCCAGGACAGGGATTTTTTTCTTATACACTCTGTAAAACTCCTTCTTTTTGCAACACTCAATGCCTACTGCTGTTTTTACATAAACAAGCTGTAACAAAACTCACTGGTTTTAAGTTAGAGGAAAGAAAAAAAGACAGAATAATTTTCTCTGTTTTCCATTTCTTAACAGTATTTATCACTTCATTTACTAGTCATTTTAATTATCTTTCATAAGTGTTCATATAAAGCTTATAATGATTACTGAATTGGTCATCTTGTTAAGGAAACTAACATTGTGTTTATTTTTTTGCAATAGTCAACAATAAAGTGTTCCCTCAGCTATAGAAATCTTTATCATGAGGCTGTACCTTACAGATAGGATTTAATTCAGATTTGAAAGTAAATGCATCCTGTCGTCACTGTATTCCTTATTGTTTGTAGTCCATCTGTTCAAGAAATAAAAAGTCTAAATGATGTAGTGAGAGATGTGTTGTAAAAATCAGTTGTGTAATCTTGAGGACTGCATAGATACTCTGTACACTGAAGTTTGCCTATAGTTCTGTGGGAGGAGCTGGTAGAACATAAAGTATCCCAAAGAAGTTTTTCATCAGCAGTGCAATGCATCACTGCTCCTAGCAGCCTGACCAAACTAACGGGAAGCATGTTGTCAGGCTGCCTGGTAGGGAAATCAGACATAAATTGCCCAGTGGCAATAGGGCTCTCACTGATAATTCAGCAGATTCATACCATCTACATTTTTTTCCTATTAGCAGTTCCATGGTTCTCTGGAAACATGTATTTTGAACTTTGTTGATAACATGTAATTTTTTGTAAAACAGACCTTCACTCCCATGTTTCTGCATAGAAAATTTCGTCCCAGATGTGCCTATTGAAAGTGCACATAACAGTGTATTTTAAAGTGTAGCCTTTGCAGTGAAGCCTTACAGAATAAGATCCACAGGTTTAGTGAAGCCCCCAGAAATGCCTTGGTCTACAATTCCTAATTTCAATTGAAAAATTTTCCTGTTGTGACTGAAAGTCACTGTGTGCACTCTTGTCTTGCCCCACAACCTTAGTTAAAAATTAATTTGTTGTTTACCTGACAATAACATACTTTTGATGTATAGCAAATCCTTATGGTTTCTGGATAGTTACTGTGGCTGCTTGGCATAGAAGTTAATCAAAGGCATTTGTTTAGTCAGAAATAAAGTCACACAGGATTAGTTTCTTAGCCTAAAGTGTAGTAGCTTGCTGAAATTAACTTTTTTAATTCTCATCTTTTTTTGTCTTCCTAATTTTCACCTATCTGACAGCTATCATCAGTATTGCTCATCCATGTCTGCTGCAGTTTCAAATCATTTGAGCTGTTACTTCTGTGTGCAGTCATCCTTGCTTTTCCTTGGTCCAAGGAGTGACATCATTCCTTCCTTTAGTTCTTCTCTCCAGTAATAGGGTTTTATATTAGTTTCATTTAATATCTAGAATTAATAAGGAAAACCAGATGGAAAGCTACAAAAGTCTGAGCATTTGGGTGACAATAATGTTAACAATCATAAATGGGAGGAGATGCCCAAGTTATTCTGTTATACAAGTCCAGGTAATTGTGTTAGTCATCTGAAGATTGTCTAATGAGATTACTGTATTGTGCCTGTAATCACAATATTGATATAAATTGTATAAACTCTGAAAGATGCCCATGCTGTCTCTGTGTTGGTGAGCCATGTCCATTTAGAGCACAGAGGCATGAAGCAGATGTAATTATGGTTCAATGACTGTAAAGTATTCTTACTTTTGACAGAAAAGCCATTCTTTTACAATGGCCGAGTCTTTGTTTATGTGTACAATTTTTAAAAATTATTTTTCTATTCTAAAAAGCAGTTAGAACTAAAACTCGTTTATTACATTATTCTCATTGGAAGAAAAATTTGCATGTAGAGGAGGACCAGGTACAGAGACAGAATGAAGGAAAATGTTAAGTGGTGATGCTCTTGTAAACTTGCCTTGGCAAGCCAAGCTGAAGTATCAGACAGACAAGCAGAGATACATGTTGCAGCTCATTCATCAATACTGATCTGAGACTAAACATGCAGTTAGTAAATATGAAATAGCTAGTCTCTGTTCATTATGTGTACTTACTACTACTATATACATGCATTTAAACTGACATACAGTTATTAACTGTGTACATTTCTTACATATAAGCAGTGGCATTTATGTACAAGATTATGTCACAGATTGCAAAGTTTCATTGACTTTAGAATAATCCCATTGTTTTAACAGTAAGAGTTTTAAGAGGGATCATTTACAACAAATGGAAGTTTATTAAATGTGATTATTGGCCCCTACAAACAACGAATATTCAAGGAGAAATTAACAGAAAGTAACCTGAGCTCCTAAAATCTATTTTGAAACTGTTCCTTAGGGCTGCCAATATAATTATGAGCAAAAATCAATTTGCTGTAATCACAAATTAAAATTGTGCTACAAGGTCTAGAAGAGATTTGATCTCAGTGAAAGCTGAAATTAAACTAAGTTAATTTTTTCTAGAGATAATAAATGGAATCTGCAAAGACCATTTTGTACAGACAATCAGTGAGAGGCAACCACCTGACCTTTCTGCTAAATCTGCTGGTACCTAACGAGTGTGATCTATATTCAGTACCCATTAACTTCATGGCAAAGTAGGCTTGTCTGTGCTTTGTAGCTTTTAAAATGACAATTCTAAAAAATTCCAAGATTGAGAGGGCTGTCCAGTGCAGTGCCATCTTGTGCTGTTGCTGGATGTGATGGCTGCTCAGGCTTCTTTTCGGCTTGCTTTTGCTGTGTTTTGGGAGGGAGAGGGAAGAAGTCAGTCCTGTTACTGTTGTTGCACTTTTTCTGAACATGTCACTCTTCAGGCTGCTCAGTTTTCAATCTAAATATCTTTATGACCACTCTGTCCATGTTTGTTTGGGTTTTTTTCCAACCTTGTCACTTACCTAAAGAAAGCCTTTCTCCTCTCTTGCTCAGGTGCAAGGCAGCAGCACGGCGAGAAGTCGCTATATTCAGTACCCATTAACTTTATGGCAAAGTAGGCTTGTCTGTGCTTTGTAGCTTTTAAAATGGCAATTCTAAAAAATTCCAAGATTGAGAGGGCTGTCCAGTGCAGTGCCGTCTTGTGCTGTTGCTGGATCTGATGGCTGCTCAGGCTTCTTTTCGGCTTGCTTTTGCTGTGTTTTGGGAGGGAGAGGGAAGAAGTCAGTCCTGTTACTGTTGTTGCACTTTTTCTGAACATGTCACTCTTCAGGCTGCTCAGTTTTCAATCTAAATATCTTTATGACCACTCTGTCCATATTTGTTTGGGTTTTTTTCCAAGCTTGTCACTTATCTAAAGAAAGCTTTTCTCCTCTCTTGCTCAGGTGCAAGGCAGCAGCACGGCGAGAAGTCGATACCATGGATACATTTGTTGATTCTGCTTGGTACTACCTGAGGTACACTGACCCTCACAACACCGACAGGTGAGGGCTGCAGGCACAGCGCCACTGGGGGCAAGCCTGCTACACAGAACACAAGGGAACAAAAAGACCACACACTCAGCTGCTTCCAGCTCCTAGCTGCAGTCTACTGGCAGGGTAAATCCCTGTGTTGCCCTCATTATGTGCCTGCCCTTTGGGCCTGAGCACAGCACAGGGTTGGTGGTGTGCTTTAACCCCAGCTGGCATTTAAGTACCACACGGCTGCTTGCTCACACCCTGTGGGCTGGGGAGGATAGTTAGGAGGAGAAAAAAAAAAGTAAAAATCATGGCTTGAAAAGAACAGTTTAATAACTGAAACGAAGTATAATAATAATTATAATAAAAAGGGGAGGGAGAAAGAGAAAACTCATGAAAAATAAGTGATGCACTATATAATTGCTCACCATCTGCTGACTGCTGCCCAGCTCATCCCTTAGCAGAGATTGGCATCTCCCAGCCAGCTCCCCAGGTTTATCTACTGGGCATGACACTCCATGGTATGGAATATCCCTTTGGCCAGTCTGGGTCAGCCTTCCTGGCCTTGCTTCCTCCCAGCTTCTTTGTACACGTGCTCTCTGGCAGAGCATGAGAGACCAAGAAGTCCTTGATTTACGGTACACACTGCTCAGCAGCAACCAGAACATCTGTGTGTTATCAACGTTATTCTCATACTGAATTCAAAGCACAGCACTGTACCAGCTATTCAGAAGAAGAAGAAGTCTGTCGCAGCCAAAAGCAGGACAATATATGGAGCTGGTCTAAAAATGTGGTCTTTGATTGCTCCTATGTCAGGAGATCTAGAAGAGCAGGATGTGTAAGCACAACTGTGTAAGCACAGGAGCTGCAGGGCAAGGGCAGAAATTTGCATGAATGGGAATTATGGGGAAGGGCACAGAGAAAATGTTCAGCTGAGGAGCTGAAGTCCTTAGTGGGGGGTGCCATCAGGAATGACAGCCTGCCATGGTAAATTGCTTGGCCTGTACCCTCCCTGGCAATGCACTGAGTAGTCCAGTGTGTGGACAGGCAGTGCTGATCCACTGGTAAGAAGAGGAATAGTCCAGTGAAACATCCAGCTGCCAAACCTGGAACCTTCTCTTCTCTCCTTTTAAATTCTGGTGACTCTTGCCATTCTTGACTCTTGCCATTTCCTTGTGTGCAGACCTCAAGTGAAAAGGCATCACAGCAATGCCCTGCTGTGTCAGCACTTCCACTACTGCATAATTAATGAAAGGAGATTTTTCATGTGCTGTGGACTAGTGTCTGCAGCATGGAGAGTGTGGGAAGACAGATGTAGTTATTTAGCTGTTTTTCAGCTTCATAGTCTGGCTGTAGTAGCGCTGCTTGATAGCACCCTTTTTTTCCAAAGAAGAATGAGTGCAACATCCCTACTCTGCAGTCTGAGGAAGACAGGAAGAATCACATTTTAAAACATTGGTACCACATGATGGGCTGTTTGGGCAAGTATTTGTTTATTTATTATGCAGAGCAGTGACTGGGAACATACTACATATACTCAGTGACTTAGTATTTCTGGGCTGATAATTTCTTTTTGTATTGGCAGCACTAGTTTGGTTAAACTAGAGAAAAATCTTCTGTGAACTCTTTTATTTCATGCCAGTTTTAATTATTTTCTAGTGATAGCATGAATATATTACTGCTATTACTGAGTTAGGCAGATTGCTTCCTCTCCATTACAGTTTGAAGTATTTTTTGTGTGTGGGCAAGAGGGACTTTTCCAGAAGCTGAAGAATAAATAGTCAGCTGTAACATCTAACTGTCAAAGTAACAGCTTAGTGTAGTCTAATCTGTTTTACACTCAAATGAGAACATTTATATGGACTTGTGCACTAAATTGCTGCCTGCATTTGATTTATTTAGTTAGTTCTTTTAACTAAGCTGTGCATATGTAAACCCTTCATTTCCATAAACCATATTTCACTGGTCTACAGTTCAGGAGAATTACTCTGTTGATTCTGGTACCATATGAACAAGTTAGGTTTGATGTATTCCACCAAAGACATGATCCCAGATCCATTATTTGCTTCTGGGCTCATCTGTGAGGAAGGAAGTGTCACTGTAACAAAAATTACAGATGGAATAATCAGACAGACAAAATAAATAAATTTGTTAGAGCAGGGGCTTGAAGCCTACATTAGAGAAAAACTTTTGTACAAATTGTATTTTGTGGGTCCACTACGGAAGACGTGGAAATAGGGAATGAAGCAGTAAGCAATGCTGGGAAACCATTTAGGTGACCTCCAACGATATGCAAATATGCTGTAAATAGCAAATTTACTGTCACTTCATCCAGCATACTTCACTTGGAGTGCTGTGACCCATCTCACTCTACAGAGGGTTCTGCAGCCTTGAACTACATCATTGCCCCCTAATGGCAACAATGCAAACCGTCAATTTGAAAAACTGGTTTTAAGTGGTCATGTCTTTTGTCTTTCATTCTAATATATTTGTATATAAAGCTTGATAAATACTAAAAAATTTAAAGCCAGCCACAGGGTATTTACAAAAAATCATTTAAAGAGCAGTCAAGCATTTTCATTGCTTTCTCAGGTAATTGCTTGCCTGAAATATAGGAGAATAATCTTTTTGTGGATCTACATCTCAGCGGAAATTAAATTTTTGTCTATAATAAGCATTTTATGTCTTAAAAAAATAAAAATATCTGATAGCAAACTGAAAGTTTTATTACACATGTATTGCTCAGAGTAAACAGTGTTGCCCAGTTAAGGATGATGAGCTACTTGAGTAGTGCTGATCTTTCTTTTTAACACTGGATTTTTTCCTATAATTGTGTTTTCTCAGGCCCTTTAATAGTGACTTAGCAGACTACTGGATGCCTGTGGATTTGTACATCGGAGGAAAGGAACATGCAGTTATGCACTTATTCTATGCAAGGTTCTTCAGCCATTTTTGCCATGATCTAAAGATGACTAAACACAAGTAAGCTTTATATATATTTCTATTAAAATCTTTCATATTTCATTTGACTCACAAGAGTATTAGTGGAAATTGTTGTGACAGTGGAACATTACATTGAATAAGCCTGAATTTTCCTGCTTTGTCAGTACTTGGTTTCTCACAGTGAATTGCACTTCCTGTATGTGTTCATACAAAGGTTTTTATTGCATGAGTATTAACTGGCTCAGAGCGAGTGATAAAGAGCTGCTGTAGATTTCCAGCCTGCAAAAGCATGCACAAATGAGTAACTTCAGGCATTCTGTATAGTGCTATTATTTCAAATTAGGTAACTTCCTACCAGTAATAGCATTAATTTCAGTGGAACCATGCATATGTAAAAAACAAAGCACTCTTATAAGTCACTGTATAATTGGAGCTGAGCAGTACAAAACACTTCTTGATAGGCAAAAGCAATATATTTATCTCATGTCAATTTATTTTTTATTTAATTAATTTTATATAATTACTTTTAATTCTTCTTGTTGATGCTGCTGCTATAGCCTAATTCACTGTTCTCTGTTTTGGTTAGAGGTAAAGTGTGATGGAAGAAGGTGAGTCATATGTTGTTCTGTTCTTTGTCCTCTTAGATAGGTTCTGAGCTTGACATCCCCATTTCCACTGAAATTCAGCTCTTTTCTACCCTAAAATGCCATCCTCAGCTTGAAGAATACTAGTGGCAGAACAATGAAATTCTGGTCCATGCTCTGTTCTGTTCTCCCATCAACAGAGATGACTGAATAGATTGAGTCAAAATGAGTGGCCCCATGAGAAGAACTGCTCAGTGATTTCTCAGCCACAACTCCTATAAATAAATTCATTCCTTACAAGTATTCCCTCTAAAACCTTGATGTTAAAGAGGAGTCTAAATATATATATCACTAAACTCACTCAAATACTGTCGTTTTGCTACAAAACTGGAATTTAAGTAGTTGTGTGCCAGAAAAAGATGGACAAGTTGCTGCAGCTAGCAGAATGTTTCCCAAGGTATTTCTTATTTTTGATGAAAATAGGCAATGTGTTTTAATAACTCATTCTTGGCTGTGCAATAGTTTGCTTGAAATATTGGATGTAGATGATTTGTGTACCTGTTTCACTCTTGTCTGCAGCGTTTGTAGCTGCAGCAGGAAGGCTGTTTCTTCTCTCTGAGTGGACCTTTCAAAGCAGACCCTTCCTCTCAGAGGTGCTATGCCTTCAAGCAGAGAATTTTAAAGCTTTCCCTTGCAAGCAATTTTAGGCTTATTAATTTCGCAAAAGATTTTACAATCCTATCCCATCAGCCATCTAGTGGAGCTGTAACACACAGCAGCAAAATGTTCTTTTACCAGTCAAATTCTTCAGCCTTCCAAAATAACATTAACCACATTAGTGGCTGAAGTGTTATCAAAATAAAGTGAGATCACAGGGCAGGGGAGATTTTCTTGCAAAGTGAGTGGTGTGCTAGAAAAAAAGGCATGGAAAGAGGCCAGCTGGAAATGGGACCTCCTGTGTGACTTTAAGAAGACCAAAATAAGTGCAAGGAAAGTAAGGAGGGGCTACCCCTGGAGGAATGTAGAAGCCTTTAGTGGATAGGCAATATGGATTATGGAAAGGTCGTAGCTCATCAGATATTGAAGCTGGTGAAGAATGTGAAGGTAGTAAGAAGAGCTTCTGGACATACATTGAAAAGAGCAGCAAGGAAGACATTGGCCTGATGCAAAATCCAACAAAGAGCCTAAGTAGAAAGAAAAGTCTTTGCCTTGGCCTTTGCTGTCAAGGTCTGTGCTTAGTAGGAAAGTTTGAAGGCAAGAGATACTGCCCATTGTAGAGTAGGATTGAGTTAGGGTTCGCTTAAGTGAATCAGACACATACAAGTTCCAGGCATGAAAGGCAAGGTGACTGGAGCAGCCACCAAGGATTTACCAAGAAGAAATTTTGCCCAACTTAATCTGCTTTTCTTCTGTGGTGAGGTGATTCCATCTGTGGATGAGGAGAGAGCTGTGCATATCTTTTACCATGACTTCAACAGAACATTGGGGGCTGTGCCATCTGTGTGGGGAGGATTACAACAGAGAAGGGCTTAGGAGTCCTGATGAACAGCAAGTTAGAGGCAGGTCAGCAGCTGGCATGACAATATACTCTGCTAGCAAAACCATGTCCAGCTTTGGTTATCTCTGCTCATCATTCAGGAAAAACTGGAATACTGTGTCTAGTTTTGAGGCCCTCACCCCAGTGTGAGGAACTGAAGAGGGTCTAGAGGAGGAGCACCACCACAGTCAGGGTTGGAGCATAGGACACACAAGAAGAGGCTAAGGGAGTTGAGTGTGTTCCCCATGGAGAAGAGAATGTTAAGGAGGGAATGTAATTGCTATCTTCTACTACTTAAAGGAGGTTTTTTAGAGAAGGTAGAGCCAGACTCTTCTCAGAGATGTACAGAGAAGGGAAAGGAGTAACAGTCACAGATTGCAGCAAGGTTCAGCTGGACAGAAGGAATACAGTTTTGGCAGGGGAGGTGATGAGACTGGAACCATTTGACTTGAGACATTGTGGCATCTCCATCATCACATATTTTCATAATGCAGTTGGACAGGGCCCAGAACAACCTGAAGTTAGGTCTGATATGAGAAAAGAGTTGCACCAAATGACTTGCAAAAGTCCTTCCAACCTGCATTATTCTAAGGAGTCTGTGATTCTGTACCTGCATTACATTGGAATGTGTTTTGTTCACACTCTGGTGTGACAGAGAGGTAGCACAAAAACTGTGTAGTGTAGCCTGGTCTAAATGTGGTAAATTACAGAAGAAAACTCTACCTTCAGTGAAGAAAAATCCTTAAGAAGCACTGACTACGTCTAGTGACAATGGCAGAAGAAAACAGAAGTTGTTTTCTGCAGAAGCAGTTTGCAAGATTGTGGAGAATTCCTTTGGCATTGTATACAATCTCAAGAACTGTTGCACATGTGAAGTTGTGTTAGAGCTTTGCCCTGAGGGCTGGGTGTATGAAATGCTTAGGCGTGTGCTTAGGCATGTGCTCAGACTGCAAGATGACTGTAACAAATTCATCATCATGCACAAAATTGTTCAATTGCTTTAGCTCTATGCAAGGTAAAGCATTTGGTGCTTTGAAGCCATTAAGTCAAATGAGGATTTTGGTTTCTTATGGAAATCATAACTCCTTTATAAATATTACCATGTATTTTAAATGTTTTAGTGTTAATCAGAAGCCACTTTTGCTCAGTCTTCTGTTTGAACTGCTCAAGGCTGGTCTGAAAGATTTGAAAAGTGTAATTAGAAACAACAGGCTTATTGTTAGGAAGCTCAAAGTCATGATGTCAGAACCTACAGATCTGAGGGAAAACACTAAAATGTTAAAAAACACTGCCCTCTTGTGCATTTTCAATCTCTCTCTAGTAGCTTAGGTCTTTTTCACTGATTAAATAAATAAAACTGTTATATCTCAGTTAACAAGAGCTTCCACATTTAAAGTGTCATCTAGCGTCCTTAAAAATTTTTATTATTCCCCTACTTGTCTGTAGTAGTTTTTCATTTTTATATGTTTTCTTTATGGAAATTTTCATTGTTTAACTCTATCCTGTGATGTTCAAATCCATTGAAATACTTCTGGGTAGTCTTTAATTATGGGTAGTCTTTAACTGGTTATTTATATAGTAATGTGGTTGAAAACAGAAATTAAAATTCCTGTAGTTTGGATTTTCAAAGCAATCTTTCCAAATATGATGTAATGATTATTACAGAAATATTACAGGCAACATGTATGAAATAGGCATTTACAGACACACATACCTGCAGTGAAAATGTAGTGTTTAAATGTAGACATTTAGAATTAGAATTTAGAATTGTAAAGGTGTCAGTATAGCTTAAATATTCCCTCAAGATGAGGCATGGTCTTTTATTTTTTAATGCATTGGACTGGAGACGGTGGGAAAGAAATGCTGCTCAATTTCTCAGTAATGACAAGGCAGAATAAGTGGTACCCTCTGGGTATTCATACATGTGATATCAGATTAAGCCCAAATTGATGTCAATTTGTTCTAGCAGTCTGGTCTGTAAAATGCATTGGTTCTATAAATAATTCACAAGGCAGCAAGCCCTCCCAGCTGTGACCGCTGCTGGGAGAGGGGCCAGGTAGGCAGCTGGGGCCAGAAAACTCCTCCTCTGTTCCAGCTTAATCCACCCTGGCAGGCGTGTGCTGACACTCTCCATTGCACCTGCTCAGCTGTGCAAGTACAAGTTACACAGAATTTGGTTCTGCCCTAGACTTCAGTAATCAGTTCTGTCTGATGAATAATTGGAAATGGAATCTAGCACATTCTCCCCGAAGAGTTACAAAGCAATAAAAAAATTTTATTGTTGCTGTTAAATCAGCAGATTTGACTCTTATAGAGGGCAAATCTGCTGAGTAAGAAGGCACTATTTTTCACATACCTGAGTTACAGAATAAAAGAAGATGTGTGTGTGACAGAAATAGCTTGTTCTGTGAAGGAACGATGCTTCAGCTTCTCTGCATTCATTTAGGACCTTATCTCTAGTGCTGATTTTAAGCCAAATTTCTCAGTTGTTAAATATGTGGAATCTTGAACATTCAGTATTGTTTTTTGTTGTTGGTGGTGGTGTTTTTTTTGTTTTGTTTTGGTTTGGTTTTTTTTTCCCTAAGATTATCGGTTTCCACATTCTTCAGTCACCTCCACAAGGCTGCAGAGCTGTATCTTACAGCAGGTTTCACAGACTCCTGGACTCAGCCAATAGTGACTGACCTGCTCTTGTCTTCACTCCAGGACACAGCAGTCAGGCTCCCTCAGCCTTTCTAAAGGTGCAGGGTACAAATACATGCAGTGAGCTCCCTTGCTAGGGCCATCCCTTCTTCTGAATTCACTGTTTTATCACTGTGGCAGGCTGCACAGAGTTCTTCCAGCCAGGTCATTTGTACTAGGATTGAAAATTCTGCTGCTCACCCTGAACAGAGCAAAGCAAAGAGCATGAGAACATGGCACTGAGCAGGAATTCCGGATCTGTCTGTCTGTCATGCTTGCCCTACCATCCATTGCATGGTCCTAGATTGGTCTCATAGAGATGAACCTGTATATGAACATTAGAGAAAGGAAAAGATGGATTACAGACTTCATGGCTAGCTGATCCTTCTCAGAGGTGTCAGGCACACTTTGCAGGTGGGATGTACAACATGATCAAAAGCTGTAATACGGGCAAGGTCTCAGTGCAGACACCCCAGCATGAGCACAAACAAACTTCACAGGCAGGTGAAAGCCTATCCCATTCCATTATACCTACAGTCTGAAACACAACCAAGCATTCAGAGGAACTCCAGACTCCTCCTCTGTGCCAGAAATGTCAGTGTGTCTGAAAATGGGTTAATTTCATTATTCTTGGTGTTTTGGATCAGGAGGTATTTATGATGCCCTGACCGGGTGCTGCAGTATTGAGGTCAGAAAGGCATCATCCCTGCTGTGCTTCAGCCCCTTGGCAGTTCCCTTACACAGCCAAGAAGTGCATCCCTGCCTTTGAAGGGGCTTGTTTGAGGTGTGCAGTTTTATTAACATGAATTCAGGTGTAACTCTGCATGTGAACATCAGAGGGAGCCACCAGAACATTGCCAAAATCACTGTGCATGCAGTGCAGGGCTCAGTTTGGTTCAGAGCCCTGTGTTTAGCAGATGGGCTCTGGCTTTCTCGTTTTGGGCATGCCTCCATACTCCTGCGGTCTCCCACTAGGGACACATGGTTGGGGTTTGTTTTCCCCATACTTGGTAATGTATTTTGTGTTGCATTTTTGTAGCCTCTGTCAGCATAAACAAAAATAAGAAATGCTTGTTCCTGCATTCAGTTTTTAGTAACTTGGCGTATGATCTGAGCTAAATCTTTGTCATTAAAAATAAGTGTTCCTTGAAAAATCACTTCCAGTGGAGAGTCCTATCTGATTTGGATGATCTGGCTACCTCATTAGCTTTACTTTAGATAGCAGGAAGTGTAGCTATATTTAATAACTGTTTGAGATCTTAAACAGACTGAAGTACTGAATGATAGGGAGGGAATTTTTTTTTCCTGTGGCGTTATGTCTCTAGTTTGCACAGACAGAAGAAATGTATCGTAACCTGATTTATCCTGAGGTGTTTTCCCACCATTGTTGTTGATAGGATAAGAAAGTTTTTGTTCCAAATTTTTACCTTCTAGTTCACTTGGATAATTTATAATAATCTTTTGTCATTTTAGATTATTTTTGCATCCTGTTTTTGAATTAGTTTTTCTTCATTTTACTCTAAATTTTTACTCTAAATTTGACTTCAGTTCTCATTCCCTTAAGTTCCTTTACTTCTAAACAACAAGATTTTTCATCAACCTCTGAAGTATCATCTACAAAATATTTATAGAGATGCTTGAGTTGCTCTTAGTTAACATTGTGATAAAACCAGGTAGCGTGGCAGAGACTCATACTTCTTTGTGACTGAGTGATACATCAATATGTGCCAGTACTTGCACAATATTTATAAGTATACAAAATATGCAAGGAAGGAAACTCATGTTCAAACTTGAGCATACTGAAGATAAAGTATGAAGCCTGTCACTTTCTTTCCCAGTTTATAGTTTTGTTTTCAAATATGTTCTTACTTCAGAGTCATCAAAAGTGTTTAAGGACTAGTACTTGGAATATACCTGCTTTTGTATGATAGAAACATGCCTAATGGTTCTATAATTAAATAATACTTTAATTGTTTCATTAAATTACTTCATTTTAAATTATGAGATAAATTGTCATGTAATTTATATTTCTTAATTATTTAAAATTCTATATTTACTCCTTAACAGTGAATCATGTTTTGGATTATGACTTTTTTGTACACATAATAAATAAAATGTGGAAGTCTGGTTTTGTTACTTCGTTTTAGATGGGTACACTCTGGCTTTTTAAAGAAAAGTTTATAGAAATAATGCGTCCTTTTTACATAAGTTTTTTTTATACACATTTGAGGTTTCATTAGGTAAAAACTGTAGAAAATTCAGATTGTTTAATGTTGCACACACATGTCAGCATTAGGAGGTGCAAGTCAGTATTAACCAGTGCTGATGATCATGTCCTCCAGAGTGATGGTCACTGATGTCCCTGTGCTGGAGGGTCCATGAGGAGGATTCCAGACTCTGTGCTTTCTGGGACTGGCTCCATGCCTCCTTCCCTGGCCCCTACTGTTCTTAAAACTGTGTTAAAACTGTTTCCTGTTCTACTGAGTGGGAACCAAAAGCTTTAGAGATTAATTTTGTTGCCTTTTTTTCAGTGAAAACAGTGACAGACATGTGACTGAATGCATTAGAAATGCAAGATCATTAAAGGAGGGGGCCGCAATAGTGTGTCAACCAGAGAAGTGTTTACTTAGAGTTTATTTCTTGCTGAGTGCACTACTGCCTTTCAAGGCTCTTTTTAGCCCTGTCATATATTAATTCCATGTGAGTTTACTCTCCCTGATGTAAATTTTTGCTAGAAAAGTAAGGTGCTAAAAAATTGATACACTGAGATATGAACTTTTCAGCATTGGCCTTTTTCTAGTACACTTTTTCATACAGCCAGGCCTTCCTGGCTAGTTCTGCAAAGGGCCAAGGCATGTGGGTGCTTATGTTAGAGAAACTGTCTTATCTGTTTATAGCAAGAAATGTGCAACAGCATTTTGATTTATTTCAAATTCTGTACTCCTCAGAGAGAAGCTAGAACTAAATATTTGTAAGACAATGAGGCCAGGTACTTGAATGCTTTCACGCAAGAGATTTAGCTTGAAGTTAGGGGAATTGTACTGTTGGCCAAGAAACTTCTGTGTGTTATCCATATGCTAATTTGAAAAGTGATGTTAGAATAACTTAGAAGTAAATTAGGGTACAAGAATGTGAGCAGAATGCATATAAATACTTGCCAGCCAACCACCATTAATCAATGCACAAAATACTCTAAGGTGACAACTATTTATGTATAGTCAATTTGAAATTCTTGTTTCGTTAAAAAATTGTGCCTGATTGGCTCAACACCTGAGGCTTACCATAAAGTATGCTTTTGACAGCTCTTTTCAACAGAGAAGTTTCTTTTTCCTTCCATCCGTAGGGAGCCTTTCCATAAGCTCTTGGTTCAAGGTCTTATCAAGAATCAGACATTCAGACTAACAACAACAGGCCAGTGTTTGAAGAGAGAGGAGGTTGATCTCACTGGTAAGAGAAACTGCATGGGAAAATCAGCATAGATGCATCCCTAAAGCCAGGGACTGCTTCAGTGCTGGGAAAATTTGGAAGAGAAAATGAAGCTAATATTTAAACTGGAGAGCAATTTCTGTGAGTTTTGGATTTCCACGTACTGCTGAGTACACAGAGATCCTACTAATACAGCAGCTTTTAATTGCATCCAAACATAGAAGCAGTGCTGTGGTATTATTTTGGCTCCAGTGTAGTCCAAAAGATCAAAAGTCAGTTTTGTTAAGACAGTGCTCAGCAGCCTGCTGAATGGAGCCAGTTAGTCCCAGCAAACAGGCAACCTACAAGAACATTACAGCAAAACTAACACAGGTGCAGGCGTATTCAGTAGATATGAGGAGTGTAAAACTTTAAGGAAACAGTGCTCATTCTCAAGTTCTTTGCAGAGCCTTCACTGCGTTAGCTGGACCAGTCATTCCTCTGGCACCTGTATTAACAAAAATGGTTTGGTTGTATTTGCCTCTCTTAAGCATTCCTCTCATACATCCTTGTTTTCACTGGATACAAACCCTGCAAGACAGTTAAAAATCAACCAACCAACCCCACCCTCTTAAGTTTTGCCACTTTCTGCTACCCCATTTTCTTCTAGAAAAGATGGGGGTTTTTTAGCAGAGGGTTTTACTCACTTGCACTTTTTTCAGTGTTGATGTCCCACTGTCTCTAAATTCATGCAAGAGAAAACACTCTTTTCAGGATAACTTACTGCAATTGGAACCTATAACTCTGGTATTTGCAAAAGCTAAGTACAGGTCAGAATTGTATCAAATCAATATACCTATCTAGGAAGTTTTAAATGTCATGGTTATAAAAAAGTTTACATATCAAGAGCTCTCAAGGCAGCACTTAGAATGCATGCCAGATACAGCTTCCAAATGGTAGGAGACTTTTTGTCATGATGTGGTGGAAACTTTAGGATATTACTGGTGTTAAAAACATTAACACAGGAGAAATTTGGGAAGGAAAAGAGTGTTTGGAATGGGTGGTATTCTTCTTTAAGCTATTTTGGAAAAATAAAACCAAAACGCTAGCAACAGTTGTTTCTTCTCATGCTCAGGGAACAAAATTAATTGCTGTTACAAGTGAGCAAAATTTGTTTCAGTAGTTTTTGTATGTCTTAATATTTAGGAAGTGAACCGGTTCACCTAAAAACTGGTGAGAAGCTCCAAGTTGCTTGGGAAAAAATGAGCAAATCTAAGTACAATGGAATAGACCCTGAGGAAATAGTGAAAGAGTATGGCATCGACACCCTGCGTCTTTACATTCTGTTTGCTGCTCCTCCAGAGCAAGACATTTTGTGGGATGCTAAAAGTAAGTCACATTATTTCTGTAGTTTGTTTTCTTGCGGATTTGTTTCTTTTTTCTCAAATAGTATATTTTAAACACAAAATTAATACAGTTCTTGATGTCCAAGTTTTGGAAAAATGAATCAAAAAAGTATCTTAAACAGGTTTTATTGTTTGTTTCCTTTAAAGGAGGGAGGGTCACAAAGCTGTCACTAAGAGGCAAACTTACAAGATTATTGCAAGCAGCTTATCTCTCATAAGCTAAAAGCACATAAGAAAACTACTTCTTAAGTTGTATTTTCTTCTGAAAACTTGGACCTCATTATCTTCTTTTAAATTAGCAGTAATTGGTTAACTGAAAATTATTTTTCTTTATAATCTGTTTTTTTCCTCATCATATCAGATCAGAGATACAACTTCACAATATTTTGCTATTTCTGTTTATTAACACATATGCAATGGCTTTTTTAAGATGGACTATGAAATAGTTCTCAGAAAGAATCTCATTAGAAGATAATCAGAGTTCCTAGTAATTGATATTTCTAGATACAACATTTTTATGAGCTTACTTTTTGAATAAGTTAAGAATTACTCTCCTGTGCACTTATTTACTCCTGTCATGCAATTCCTTATACTGACAGGTCTTAATTTCATCTACTGTGGTTCATACATTTTAATGTAGTCTTATACATTCATTTACATTTCACCTTCCTGTTGCATAAGGCTTTAATAAAACACTCCATTCCTGATCTCAAAAAGTGTACTTCTTCATTCTTTCACATGTTAAGTTCTTGCCACTTTGTTCAGCCTGCACTAAACTTTATTTCAGTTGTGTCTGTCATGCTTTATATTCATTTGTGTTTCTTTATATATTCTTGCACTACTGTATGTACTGGAGGAATGGGCTTTATGAGTTCTCAGCTGGCTTTCTGTCACCACCTAATCACAGCAATAGAGAGCTAGGCATTTGAAAAGGTCTTAAAAAAATGAGTCACTTAGAATCAAGCCTTAACAGCTGCATCCCAAACACTACACAGGTACACAGTTCCCTCTGAGGCAGCTAATTTGGTGATGCACACTCTTTTTGCTGTATTTTCTGATATTGAAGATGGAATAATTAAATTACTGTGAGGATGGTGTGTACCAAATCTTAGTTGCAAAGTATACGAGTTTGGTGATTAAACATTTTTGTAAGAAAGCTAATTACATGCAGTTATAATGCTAGCAAAAATGTATTGTGTCATTCAAGCCAACCTGTTTACCACTTGAGAAATACAAAGGAAGATTTTGGCATCATCTCATGTTAAAAGGATTGGAAAATGTGAACAGAAGGAGATTTTAGCTGCCTAAAGATATTTCCAGGGGAGAAGAAAATAGAAAGTTAGGTGAAAAGCATCTCTTTAATATCTTTGCACTTTGTTCTGAATTTTTTAATTATAACAACATTATGAATGTTTAAATGAAAGAAATTAAGCAGTTTGTGTTGGCTTTGACCTTGGGCTGGATGTCAGGTGCCCACCAAGCTGCTTTGTCTCTCCTTGCTTTTTAGTTGGATAGGGGGAAAAAACTACAACAAAAGGCTCGTGGGTTGAGGTAAGGGCAAGGAGATCACTCAGCATTTGCCATCATGGACAAAACAGACTCGACTGAGAAACTGATTTAATGTAATACCAATTAAAATTAGAGTAATGAGAAGTAAAACCAAAGTTATACCTTCCCTTCATCCCTCCCTTTTTCCTGTGCTCAACTGGGTCTGTCAGACATGGGGGAAGCTCCTAGAAGCTTCCCAGAGAAGTCATCCTTGTAGCCCCTCCCTACCAAAACTTTGCCATGCAAAGCCATTACAGGAATTTTTCTTTCAGAGAGTGTTAAATAGTGGTTCTCAGTTATCATGATCCTTCTCTCCTCTGGATGTAATAGCCTTTGGATGATTGCCCTTCAGAGTAGATTCCTTGTCCTTTCAGTGGAGGACATCAAGGCAGGGCTTACATCATTCTCTCCTGTGGTGTGAGCAGCCATGGAGTAGGAGTGATGCTGTTGCAGGGTCAAGGTCAACAGCTTCATAGTCTCCCCATCCCAAACTAAGCTGAGTCAAAAGAGAGTACCAAGGGGCAGAGCCTATACCCATTAGCACAATAGCATCTCTAGCAACCAAAGTATACATACTTGCTAAAATCAAATTTGAAAAGAAACTTCTCAGTTTGAAAAAATATGTGTATGTGTTTATATTCTGCCATGAGTTCAAAAAATGAGAGCACCTACAACTCCTTTGTGAAGTCATTTAAACAGATGAGCATTCTAGCATTGACATAATGTTGGGTTATTTTACAGATTTTAGTCTATGCTGTATTCTTGGTATATATATATATATATCTGTTTTAAAGTCATTACAGAAAAATACTGATTTTCCTAATTAAAGCAACTCAGCATTACTTGTAAAGACATTTTTAATTTTATTGATGTCTTTCATTTAAAATAGAGAGTTTGGGGTTTTTTTTAATGTTTAACTCCAATGTTCTGTTCCTGCTTTTCTTTAAAGTTTTGAATTCTTTACTTGCAACTGACATTTGTTTCTGAAATTTTTCATTAATCTCAGCTGATGCCATGCCCGGCGTTCAGAGATGGCAGGTGCGCCTCTGGGCACTTGTAACCAAACTCATTGAAGCAAGGACTTCAGGAACCATGCCCAATCCTGAGCTTCTGAATAAGAAAGAGAAGGCTGAAGCCAGAAAGATCTGGGAGCAGAAGAATCTGGTCATTTCTGAGGTTAAAAGATACACTTACATAGTTTCTAAATTACTAAATAAGTTGCTTCTTATGCTAAAACCATAGGTTTGACGTAGAGAGCCAAAAGCTTTTTTCCAAGATGAGTAGCTAATTTTCTACATGAATTATTCTCTATGTAAATAATTTTATCTACCTACAAATTTTGTGGGACAGAAATTATTTAAAGGATGTATGCCTCATGTAAGGAATGAAATGTTATGACATTGAAGTTTTATCAATCTGGAATTCAGATAACTCCATTTCAAGTAACAAAACAGTTGGTGAGTTCTGTAGGTTACCCTAACAAAAGCTTTGGTCTGTTTGTTTCATTCCTCATTATCATGCCTGCTGTTTCATATAGAATGAAAAAAGCCACTGGTGAAAATATATTAGCATAGCCTTGAAAAAAATACTGAAGTGGTTGTTCATCTCTTGTTATCTCCTGCTGTGATTAGTATCAGTTCAGTTATCCAAGACTCGAAGGAAACATAAATACGTGCAAAATTAACTTCAAGTAATTTTCTGTGGATAAAAACTTTTGCCAGTTTAAACCCTGCTGTGAGGGATATTCCAGATCATTTAACAGACTTTATAATTCTAATCTTGTAATCTATGAACAAGTTTTCACCAGTATAAATCGAGTTACAAGAGAGAAGGCACTTGTAGGGGCAAAGGGAAGATATTATATTGAAGGAAATAAAGGGTGACTAATGCACATTTTTCATAGCATTGGTTGAAGCTTTTTAAATCCTGAAACAGAAGGGAAGCTAATCAGTCAAATTTTTATATGATTGCTATTTTCCCCTCAACACATGTGATTGTACATATGATGTGTTTGCATACCAAAGTAATTTCCATATAAGAGGTAAGATGCACATATTTCACCAATTGAAATTGATTACCAGTAATTGTTTTCCATTTAAAAACCCAGTATTCTGAGTTGGAGAATTTTAAGTAATTAATGACAGACCTTTTCTTCTAATACAAGGTAACCGAGTACTTCACAAAGGATCATTTGTTCAATGCAGCTATTTCCCGATTGATGAGCCTCACAAATGTACTCCATGTAAGTATGTGATATTAATGAAGGTATTTTTCTCTCAGACACTGCTCCTGTCAGTCTTTCTACAAAGCAGGAACTACCCGAACTCTAGGTCCAGCTTTCTGTAAGTCATTAACTTCATAAACAGTATTACTAAGTCAAGAGCCTTGCTGAGTTACACTCAGTTCAAAAGCATTGAAAAAATATGTTCTGGTATCACTGTAACCCTGAATTATAAACAGTTTTGCAGGAGGAGCTTGATGGTATTAGATCCACCAGATTCTGATGTTTATGTCTGCATCCTGTAATTTGAAGAGGATACATTTTGTTTAGTTCTGTTCGTCTCTTGATTTTAGCCAAGTTGCAAAAGCAGCTAGGTATAGTAGTACATTATAGAATTACCAAACATTCTGATTTTAAAACGGTTGTTCTTTGCAAGGAAAATCACACATAGTCAGTCCTCAAAGACAGCTTACACTGCTGAACTTAAGTTTTAAGATTTTTAATTTAGATTATGTTGTTTATCAGCCAGCGGTGATAGATGAAATATAATAAACTATTAGTATTATTTTCATTACTACTCTTAGATCTGGTTGAGCAATCCTTCAGGCATATAATGGTAACCTGATATAGACCAAAAATTAAATATAATTTTGAAAGCTTTAGCTTCTTTATTGAAATACCATTTTATACATTATGGATTCCAAGGTGCTTATTAGCACAATCAAGGAACTTAACAAAAAGTGAAGTACGTTGTGCACAGGTTCTGTATTGAGACAACTTAAGTCTGGCATCCTGTATGGTGTTGGAAAGGTTACAGACAGTTCTTCAACTCAATGACTCATAGGCATTTGGGGTTAATGGAAGGTGGAATGAATGTTAAAAAAAAATAAAATTCAGGGTCCTACAGACAGCCAGATACTTGAACTCTGATATATTTCTTGAGCAGTGAAGAAGACAGTGCAGTGTCTTTGAAGAATGAATTTCCACATAGCATGCTGACACTTCCTCTTTTGCTCCCAGTTAGAAGGAGGAAGTGGAGAGGTGGGCAAGGATTAAACATTGCAAGTGGGTAGTAGTTGCTAAAACTTACTCAAATATAGTTTGCACTATAAGTGGTAAGATGCCCTCTGACAACATCTGCAGTCAAGCAAATCACTGGTTTTGGACAATTTTCTAGTTGATGAGAATGGGTTTTCTTCACATCAAATAATTCTCATAAGTTGACATGTATTGACCTTTTTTTATGCTATTTCATTAGAGAGATTACAAAATAAATGCACCAGCTGAATTTGCCATGGGATGTAATCTCTTAGGCAAAGAAACAAAAGTTCATCTGATTACTTTTAGTGCTGCATCTTTTCTATTAAGTTTTCCCTAAGTTAAGCTAAATGGGGAAATTAAGTTCAAATTTTGTCAGTCAAGTTACCTTTTTCCAGAAATTGCACATTTTCTATACTAAAGAAGCCAGACACTCTACTAAAATAATAAGAATATAAAACTGTAAAAGACTTTTATGTGCTTTTCATTCCCAAAGCTTCCTTCAGCTGTAAAACCTCACTTTGTCACTAAATTCAGCTTTACTGAAGCCACTCTATGATCCTGTCGAATGGAACCTTGTCCAAACAAAACGTGTGTTGCATTCAGCACAGTTTGACTGTCATATACAAGTGCTTCACCTCTTCTCAGATAGCTCTGGTTTTGCCTAAGATTGCACTTCTAGAAAAGGCAGCACTCAAAATGGTTTTCTGGGCCACTCTTGTCCACATGTGTGTGTGTTCAGAGTTCTGTGCTAGAGCAGATCCCCAAGGGTCTTCATCAGCCACTTCAGGATTAGCTTCTAAGTGTTAGAGAGCACTCTGTGACCAAGAGTTGTGATTTTAATTATCCATTTTTGTACGTTTCCAATTTGTTGTGAAATTGCACTTTCCTTAGCATAGACATTGATTGTAGGTTTTATTACTGCATTTTCTTCTTAATTAAACTACTTTCCTCCCCACCTCAGAATGTTCATAGTTTGTTTATTTTTTCTTGTTTTTTTTTTACTCAGCATGCTCCTCAGCCCCTTGTTCTCCACAGCAAAGAATTTGAAGATGCTTTGGCTTCACTCTGCATTATGGTCGCACCTATGGCTCCCCACATTGCGTCAGAGATGTGGAAAGGTATTTATAAACTTCATGCAGCTGTTCTAGGAAAAAGGACAAGAAATTTGCAAAAATGTCTGTAACTCAGCACATGTGTCACTTACCTCTGAATTCTTTATCTAGCTTGTCGCCTTCCATCATAATTGTTAAACAAGCTTGAACTTTGTGTCATTCCCACATCCCTCTTTTCTGCCTTTGGTTTCTTTTTCCTTGCATAGAGAGGTGGATTTCTTGAAACTAGGTGGAGAAAGGCAGCTAGAAGAAAAATTCAAGACAGGACTTGCATGAGGAATTCATATGTCAGCTGCTAACTGCTCCTGAATATGGGTGGTATTATTAAGATCTGAACACGAGGGCAGAACCAGCCTTTTTTTAAATAACTCTGTCAGAGCCTTTGGATTATAAATATTTTCTTTCAGGAATTCAGACAAAGCAAACCATATCAGAGAGCTGGGTACTAAAAAGGCTAAAGGAATGTTCGATAAAAATCCTGCCCTTTTAGGATGCTCCAGAGACTGAGGGACACTATGCTTTAAATTAACCTGCCATGGAGAATGGGAGTTGTAGACAGGGTATCTTTTCTAAGACCTGTCACAGTTGTACAGGTCTGAATACCAAATGGGCTAAGTTGCATGGTGCTGATACAGTTAAAGCCTATGAAATAAGGGATATGCATGCCAGAGTTTACAACTGATTGTAAGGCTTATTGGGAAAAATCCCAAGATGCATGTGGGAAGATAGGAATATATTCTGCATCATGGCTGGCCACAAACTGCTGTGTGGTTTTGGACCTAATGTTAGCTTTTGGATGGTGTTTTAATGGTTTTACTTTCAGTAGTTGTCCCAAAAAGCATTGTGCATTCAAGTGTTTGCAGAGCTACTAAACTGAAGGTATTTCAGTGTTGTGCATGGCCTGTAATGTTAATTGCCAAGGAAAGACCACTCTTGTTCAAAGCAGTAACAAAAGAAGGAAAGCCTGTGGAAACAACAAGATATGGTGGGGAGAGTGGGTTGGGTTTATTGCATGTGTTTTCATTTCAAGTGATTTAAAAATGTCTTAATAGAGGTTTAACTGTCTGGAATAAAGAGTGGCATCAGACATGATCCATCTGGTCTTATACTATGATGTGCCATCTAATTAAAATAATGCTAAATAAAAGCAATAAGCATGACTTTTCTACAGTGGTTGAGATGGAGACGGAAGAGATTCAGGATAATTACTTATACATACAGTGTCTTCTGAACTTAAAATTCTAATATATGTTAGGAAAAAAAGAATTATCAGCCATGGTTGATAAAATGACAAAGAGCACTAGGGTAATTAAGAACTTGTTTAACATGAATCCTAATCCTGTAGCATTTTGAATGTTAGATAAGGAAGTCTTTTCTTGCTACTAAAATCACTGGAGAATGAGAATGATAAGCATTTTCTGGATCTCTCTCTGATGTAAGAATCAAAAGGAAGCATATAAAAATTGAAAGTGTATTGTCCTCAGCCTCTGTCTGCATTTAAAGATAAAATTTTACTTGTGTGGTCCAAAGACATGTGCACTGTAATTCATTGCAGCAATCATAAAAAAAAATTGTATGTTGATTATTGCCTGAAGAATTTTATTACTAAATTTAAAAATGACAGTATCTTTTAGCATGGCAATCATTGCATTATACTGAAGTTATTGAACAATTTTATCAGGAGAATGTGCATACATTTAACTACTGCATTGTGGTAAGAATACGGTATTATTTTGAAATAGCCAACATCTATCAGTTCTGTCCTGGGACTGAGATTTCAGATTAAAGATTCCCCAAGTTTTAAATTGCACTCTAGTTCCACCAAGTCCTGCTGCTCTTCTAATGTAACCGATTTCTCAAACTCTGTTGTGTATAAGTGATGATGCTTTACTATTTTAAATAATTTCAATATGAAAATTAAGGTTTCTAAATACTCTGTTTAGTTTTCTCTATGCTTTAGTTCTCCATACTCAGAGAGAATAAGTTTCTCCTTTTGTACCTTGGCTTTGCATCAGAATGTCAGGATAATGCTACTTCCTCTTTCGTAAATCGGTCAGGAAAAGGAGTTTGTATATTGTTAGTTCTATAAATTGCACCTATAGCACTGGACCCCACTCTGATGGAAGCTGGTTGAGTGCTGTTCTGTAAGTGCCTCACCTTTCAGCAGCTGAACAACAGCAACCCTTGGTACTGTGTGTGTGAAGAAGCCCTTCTGCCCCCTTAGGGGACGAGCAGTTTTTGGTGTTTTGGTGTGCCAGCCTGACGGTGTTAATCGTGCAGAGAACGCGCTGCTTTATCGCTCAATAACATAAAAAGCAGCCGTAGCCCCTCAGTGTGGGAAGAGTTCATCCGGCTGATATCTTGGCAGTTTATGAACACTAACAGGATGAGGAAATCTGTTTCCTTCCTGAAACCTTGTATCTAAGGAATATACAGACACCATTTGAGACTTTTTTTTTTAGTTTGTTTGTAGTAGTACAGTGTTTTGCTGTTCAGACAAGGATATGAAACTGCTTATTGTGAGTTGCTAAATTTTTATTAGAGATGGCACATGAAAGATATGTACACCTTTGATAAACACATCTTAGGAAATACTGAAATTAAACTTTTTTTTTAATTTTTAATGGTATCATTGTCTTAGCAATATTTTAACTGTAATTACAATAGCTCTGTTGCAAGAATTTTTCTGAATTCAGCCCTTGCTCAAAAAGGCTTCTGAAAATAATGGAGTTGAATGAAAGCTAATTGATGTTGCAGGTTTTAATTGAAAATCTGAATGAAGAGATCCCCCTTCACAAATCCAATAAGAAACGTGATTTGGAGTTTCAATTTTTTTTTTTTCTCCAAGAGTAATAGCATAAAAGGAAGGAGAGAAAGTTTTTTCAAATCGAGGAAGACAGATTGTTTTAAGAAAGTTAAAAGGATTTGGTTGGAGTTTGCTGGATTGCAAGCACATCCTAGAGTAAGCTTACAGTAACCCAGGCTTTTCACATCCTAGTTCTGTACTACTATACCAATGGTATAATACAGCTTTTTTCAGAGCTGTCTGGAAACAGCTGTTACCATTTCTTTGAGATTGCAAATTGTTTCACATATGACTGACAGACATATTCTTCCTGAGCTGCAGAAAGAAATTTCAGATATGAAACTTGCCCAAATCTATCAAATAGGGAGATTCATTAAATAGTAAAGAGAATATCAAGAACAAAGTAACATGGTAACAATGCCAGAAAGAGGCTGCACAGGCAAGTTGATAATCACCCAAAATGTCTCTCCACTTGCCCTTACACACTCCTGATCTGAGTTTTTTAATTAAATTAGCAGTGTTTGGATATTCACCCTCAGAGGCATCTTGTACTTCCTCCTCTGATATTCTTATACCTTCTGTTTGAAAATCCCTAGTCCTAAACTCTGATACTGCCATTGTTTCAGATGCTTTCATTAGCTTCCTTTTATCACCCATTAAGACTTCCATCTTCATTTCCTTCTCTGCTTTAACTTCTCTGTTCCAGGGCTTGTCACAAGCCAGCTCTTTCTCAATTTACTTCATAATCACAACTTTTCCTCTGGCCTACATAACTTTGTGTCTAAATTATGCAGCTGCACAATTACTGGAATTTTACAGATCATTTTTTTCCAGTGCTTTTTTTCTGTAAGACTCATTACCTTTCCATCCTAACACCTTGTTGATACATGACTGCTCCCACGTCTTCCTTCTTAAATCTGTTTAAAATGAGAATCTGCTCTGCCCTGTCAAATAGGACCTTAAGGAAAATATTATGCTTATGAAATACTCCTGTAATGCGAGTAAAACATTGCCCTGAGCTAAAAAGTTGTTAGACTGGTCCTGTCCCCTCTTTCTCTCAACACACTAATTTACAGTACTATAGGACTCGTTTAACTTGGTGTTTTAAAATGGATTCCAATGCTGTGAGTTACTGGTTAGGGAAAACTTGCTCTAATATTTGCTTGCTAGTCAGTAGAAGTCCATTGAAGCAGATCCAACAGCAAGATCAGGACTTCAGACTGAGCACAAGTATTGTCTTTGATCTGTCCTGTATGGATGGATACATATAAGTAAAAAGCTTACAGTAAGTAAAAAATATACTGTTAGCTTTCTGTCGTGGATCTGCAAGAGAATCTATAGCCATAAAAGCAAAATACATAAAAAAATATGATGCAAAATGCACACCACTTCATCAAATGCACTTCACTAGGTGCTTTCCTGTGCAGTAAAACAATAAAAGATGTTTTTCATGTTTTCACAATCAAAGTTTCAGAAAAGGTCCATTTTTAATGTATCAATCACTATTCTGGATCAGGGTGATGACGTTTCTTGTTTAGCATGTTGAATTTTGAAAATACAAACCAAATCATTATGTTTTCTGTGTTCTTCAGCTTACAAAATGTGAATTAAGGCAGGAAGCCAAATGAGCAACATAACTAAAACCTTCATTTTGGTTTCCTGTCAAACTGTTTTCTCAAACTAGTTCTGTTGACTTTTCTACTCTGTTTTTCTATGGATGAGCTCATAACTCATTTTGCAGCAAGAAAATGAACCAAAGGATTGACACTGGGCTTACTCACACTTCGCTTCATAATTAAATTCATATTTTAATTATTTTTTATTGGTCGGTTTATTAGGACTGACAGCCTCCACAGGAATTAAAAGGGACCCTGGTTTGCTGTTGTAGATAGAAACTCATATATCAGAAAGTGGGTTTTAAATAGTTTGAAGAATTCTTTTCAACAGTAAAATAAGGAATGGCCAGCATTCATGCTTCTGCCACAAGGCGTGTGATCAGTTGGAAAGAAATGAGGTCATCTGGACGTTCAAAAGCCAAAAAGGAAAGAATCTAACAGCTGTTTTCTTTACAGTCAATGTGATAATGAATCATCAATATGAAGATTATTTTCTGCTTGAGTTCCTATTTTTTGCTCTTTCAGTTTCTGAGCTGTTGCTGCAAAAGAAAAAATACACAAAATCAGAGCCACTGATATTAAATTATTTGCCTGACAAATAGTTGTTGTCATTAGGAAATGTGCATGTTCTTGCTTGCCATTAGAAATAGCTCCCATCAGTCCTTCCCACTGTCCCTCTCTGAGTCATTCAGCAAATAGCAGAGCTGTGTGTCATTTTACCGAAGCACTTTGTCTGAAAAAGCACTGACAAAAATGTGGTGGACTTTTCTGGAGGGAGCTGCATGGTCTTTATGCCCCTGTTTGCTGTTACTCACCGTATTAGTCTAAACAATCCAGCGAGCTGAATTGATGTGTGCACTGTGCATGGGTTGGGTGAATGCCTGTGGCTGCTGTCGTGCTGTTTTGAACAGCTTCAGTGCCTCAGTCTCACCAGTGAGTCTTGTGTGGATGTGTTTTCTTTATGCTTTTGATGGAGTTTCCCTAAACTAGAAGAGATTTCACATGCAGAAGAGATTTCATTTTGCAGTCCTGAATGAAGCATGTGCTTATAAAAAGTTTTAGTCTGTGTTCTTATTCACATGCAGAGAATTATTTTAATTTAAAAATCTCCTGGCTCTGTGAGAATCACAAGAGCAGTCATCATTAGTATTGGTTATATTTGACAGCATCTTGTTAAAAGAAATCTTTGTATTTTGTCATAGAGCTGCAGTAAACAGCAACATAAATCCCACTCAGGAGTTTCTATTCAGTTATAGAATGCAGCTTCAGAATGACTTGCATCCTATTCTCCTATGACTTAAACAAATCAGGAATTAATTATCTTGAGAAGACCAGTTTAATAAAAGGAGATCACTTATAGCCATTTTAGAAATTTTTTTAAAATAAAATCGAAGGATAAAATGTTTCAGAATGTAAAAATCATAAGGAGAGAAAGATCTGCAAGGCATTCCTTTGTATCACCTTTAATTTGTGAGAAAATATACACAAAATAGAGAAAATCTTGCAAGTAGCTTGACTTGCAAATTTAGAAACTACCCAGCATATTATAGGTGGTAAAATAAGGCATAATCATTTGTCATTCTCAGTTGTTAGTAAAATTCTAATCAAACTGGTGGCATTACTGAAAATAAATGCAGTATTATGGTTGACTTTTAGAAGCAGAGGTCAGCTTATGTTGTAGGATTACAATTTAAAATAATAAGCAGCAATCTTCTGTGCTCTTGGCAAAGTTATAGAGTGTTAATTTAAATCTAAAGTGTGCCCACATTGTTAATATCCTTACTCATGGTATAAAACAAATGCTTCAAAGATGTAAATCTTTCTGTTTATAATGTGTTGTATGCTAATCTAAACAATGTTATTTCCTCCTATGGCACTTGCTTTTAAAGTCAACTTTATCCTGATCTAATTTGTCAAACAAATTCCAGAGACCAAATGTTCTGGTTACCATACAGATGAATGTTTTACTGTTTTCATTTTCTAGGTTTGGCACATACACAGAATAAACTTTGTACTCATCATCACTGGGATGTTGATGTTCTGCATCAGTCCTGGCCCAAAGTAGACCCAGATTACCTTCAGCCATCAGATGTTGTGGAGATGTCTGTACTGGTAAGAGCATTTTGATTTATTTTCAGTAGTGGCCAAGTAATGTGTTATGAGCCTGGAGCATGATGGAATTTCTTCTCTTGTGGAAGTCTGTGCCCATAGTAGATGATCCAGTGAAAGTTCAAAATAGAAGCTGCTATTACAGTTGTGCTGAGTAATTAAAATTATTTCCTAAACAAAAAGATACAGTGAGTCTGGAAGAGAGGTGCCCTAAATATAAACCTTTCAGAGTGACTGCATATTAGTACCTGTGGGGATTTGACCAATGAACAGCCATGGCAAGGATGATACAGTCAAAACTAGGATCACAATACGGATGTTTTGCCTGACAGTGCATTTATTCACCCAGCCCTGTACACAAATGTGTAATTAAGTGATATTTCTTGTGGTACCAGTAGTGCTATGGCTCCCTAACAGAGCCAACCATAAACTCAGTTAAGTTGTGATTTTTGCCAAATGATGTTTCCCATCTGCCTTGGGCTGAATTTCTGGCACATGTCAGGAGAGTCCATTTGCAGGAGTGGAGTTGAGAAAATCAGCTATCTTTGGAAATGTTATAACTTCCAATTTCTCTTTGGGCTCAAAGCCCTTTATGGCCCAGGGAAGGAGCTGGCTGTTCAGTGGAAGAGTGCACATGGAGCTACCTTTAGTTAACCTCCAGTTTCCCAGCATGTGCACGGCGTAGTTTACTGTCTTCTTTCCTCTGGCTCTAGTGTGTGTTCAGGATGCTCCCAGGCATCCTAAAGCTTGGTCATTAGGCAGGCCACAGAGGGAATGAGTGCCTGGAGCCAGAGGTGTGGGATCCCTGAGCAATGACTCAGCTCTTCCACTGGCTGACTCCTGCTCCACCTGCCTTCAAGTTCCTCATGCTCAGGCACTGTGATAGTCGGTAATTAACTAGATCTGAGGACTCCTGCCTTTTTCACTGTTGCCCAAAGGATAATCTTCAATGCTAACATTCTGAATTTTAATGTTCTAAATTAAAATTAACGCTTCAACTTAAACACTTTCTGTGTTTCTGGATATTCAGTGAAAATGGAGCCTGTAGAAGAAATGTCATTTGGTCATGTAAAACTGTATGTTCTGTGTGTGTAAAAGAAACAGAAGCAATGCATTTTGGTTGTATTTTTTTCTGTTCTCCCCTTTGGGTGAGGGAGCAAAGCAGTTGGGTTGTTTTTGTTGAGTTTTTTGAGGAGGGAGGAGATTGGTTGAATTTAGGGGAAGCCATTTTGCTGTAGATTTCCTTAATCAAAGTATCTTTGCAAATAATTTCATATCTCACCCAATCTCTCAGTCAGTTTATTTGAACAGAATGAGAAATAATGTTAAAGCACTAGTTTTTCCAACATTAAACATACGCACTTAAGAAAGACCAAGGAGTATGTCTTTTTTAAGGAAATTTTCAATTGTCATCTTTCCAAGCCAAGAAGGACTCAGTTGCCAGCTGGGGTTAATAGAAGACTTGGCCTAATAGTCATTGTGGGTGAATTGCTTTTTTCCTCTTTCTTGCCCTCTCTTTCTTTCTTTAAGTGATAAGCATTTTGTTCTCTGAAGCCCAAAATAAGCCTTCACATCCAAGCACAGCTAGCAAACATCTTGAATTCCAGTGTTCAGTTTATAAGGAAGTCATGAATGAGAAATTGTGTAATTATAGAAACATCTTCGCAGTTGTGGTAAAAGCAAACATGTTATTAAATATATCTTTGAAATAACAACTTCAGCAACACAGGGAAAGCGCTGGACACAATGTTTTTAAGACTACACAACCAAACATGAAAATGCCTAAATATTTCACTGATATTTTTCTGCTGACATGAAAATTTCCTTCTCATAAAAAGGAACAAGAAAAAAATTAATTTAATTAATTTAATTTATTAAAATTATTTTTGTTTCTTTTCCTGGTTGGCTTTGTCAAAGCCATAGCCTTGTGTAAGTCTTGTTGTAATAAGAGAAAAAAACATCCCCTGGGTTCTTAGTCATATATTCATGGAAATATGTATGTAAACACCTTCCTCCTGAGAAAGCAAGTGACTGGAGAACCAGAGAGACAAGTTGTTTCTTTGAACTGGAGATAATTCTCATCAGTAGTGCCTTCAGAGTGTATCTGGCTTTCTACTGTAAGAGTAAAGCAAAAGGGAAATATGGGGGAGCAGGGAATGTGAATGTGCACGGAATGTGGGAAGTTTTGCGGACACTGAAGGTTTTTGTATGGCTGCAAAAATAAATTGCCCTCATTAAACCAAGAAACACTCACCATACAGAGGAATTGGTTTTGCAAAGAGTCAGTGTCTCTTCACAAGGCTGTACAGTCAAAGCAAGTCTTTGGGCCACAACCCTATTCTTCTCAAGCCATCAAACTGCCTCAGGCTGCCAGGGATTTGTCTGCTGAGACATTCTGGGTTTATTTCTCTTCACACAAATGCTTCATTATTTCCTGTCTGTGCTGGAGTTATGTCTTTTCATATTTAACCCAAAGCAACAAAAGCAACCAGCTCACTGTATCCTTGGCTGAAACAATATAAATTGCCTACAAGAAAGACATTTAAATTCACTGGGTATGCACAGTATCTGTTCCTCTAAATATTATTGCAAAGTTGAGTATTTTTAATAATACTGTATATTATTAATGCTCTGAAAAATCTGACCTGAATGTAGTGTGCATTTCATCCTGTAAATACTTCTGACTAGCATTCCTCACATTTTCTAAGTGGTGCAGAACTGTTAGCAGATGTGGTCTTATAACTGATGTTTTTATAAATAAAAAAAAATTTGGTGTCATTTTCCTTGCTTTGGCATATGAGAGAGGCCTAACAGTGCACAGATATTTATTTTCTTTCTAGCTTCTCAGAAGGATTATGCATCAGTGGTAAAAAAATATTTGAGTTGAATTAAAAATTCCTCTCTGCAGCCTCAAGGTGCTTATTTTTCAGTCTTTTGTGATTTCATTTCAACTTTTATAACTTCTGTAGTTACCACTGGCTCCCTGTAGATCTGGAATAGTGTAAAATGTCAAATGTTTTTCAGAAAAAAAAAAAAGAAATTAAGGAAGAGAAGAAAAAAGCAACAGCTTCCTTCCTCGGGGAAAGAAAGGACCCAAGACTTGTGTATTTCTCCTCTTGCAGTTTGCCATGGTTTTCCAAAGAAACAAGGCTGCCAGTACCCAGTTTTCTTGTGTGGCACTTCTACCTGGAAATGCCAAGAGTTATGCTGGTCTAGTGAGATACAGAAAGAGAGATGGAGGAATAGCAGAAGGCAATTCTCCTGCTGAGAAACTAAGCCCTGGGCTAAAAGGATATGAGAATAGGATGCTTGTTACACACAGCATGTGATGAAATCTGCAGCTGCCTGTTTTAAGAATAGTGTTAAAATGCTTGATGATACCTACAGTATAATGAAAGCCATGCTCAAACACGTGCTGAAACCATAACCAATCTGCTGTTTGATAAAAGTTATGGTCCCAGCTCAGAGCATAGTGTGGGAAGATCAGGAGACATGCTGTGGGAAGGTGGAGATGTGCTGTGGGAAGGTACACAGTGCCAGGTCGCCCAGGCTTCTCAGCCTTTCTAGGAAAACACAACCACTAGCAGGCATTTATTTACCAAGTTGATTTAGACTGCTTGGCTTTTCTGTTGAGAACAGCACCAAATAGGCTAGTTGTGGAAAATTTCCCCCTGCCAACATCGATCCACTGGGACATATTAATTTGCATGATGGAGGACAGTGAATGACATTTTAACTAGGCAGGCATAGCTTTGAACTGCAGGCTGCGTGTCCTAGCAGCAAGCTGAGAGGCTTGCTTTATATTCCCACTAAAAGTGTATCTGTTTGAATTTTACTGTTTTCTTCTTCCTGTGGAATGCATTTTTTCTCTGAAGTGTCCTGTCAAAAAGAACTGTTTGGATTTATTTTTCATGAAAACTTTAAAAATTAACTCCTATGTGTTTTTCAAGGATTTTTACTTTACATGAGATGCTAAAGGCAAAGTTTAACACAGCCAGCCTTTTATGACGCCACGTTATGGATGCGTGTAGGAGTAATTAAAAGCCTACTGACATAATCACTGCAAATTATTGTCAAGACTAGTCAAAAAACAGAAGTGGCTCATCCTTCCTGCATTTGAGACTCCATTTTGTTCCTTAAAAATCTGTCCCAACTTCCTCTCTCAGAGAATTGCACAAATTATTTTATTTTCAATAAAACAAAATACAAACTAGGTAAGTGAACTAGGTCTTTCTCATTTGTCATATATATCCAGATATCCTGGATAAAATCCAGGTGAAAACCAAGTCATGAACATTTTTATGTCCAAACTGCATGAAGCAATGTGTGTTTCTTTTAGATGATTGAAATCTCCTTGAAATGATGCCTAGAAATCTGCAGTACCTATACAGATTATTATGCAAGTAATGCAATCAACTGCATTAAAAAATTTGAATTGTTTCATTTTCTAAAATATGTGATTGACCTTCTTCTCATTAAGCCACTAAAAATAGTCCATATAAATCTGAAAACCTTTGTAATAATTAATTTCATGCCAGCTCCAGAAAGGTACTCAGTCAGGCTCTATAGTCTGTCTCCGTTATCTACTCTTATTAGATGACAGAAAGGATTTATAAAACCATTTTATAGGCTAAGGTGATTCCCACCAAAGGACTTACTCAGTTTTACTTACATGATTCTGCCCTACTGAAGCAAAACCAGCATGGGGGCTGCACTGAAAACCAGCCACACACAGGAAAATGTTACTTAGTGAGTAGCTGACGTCTTTGTGGTCAGTGTTGGATTAATGAGCCATGGGTTGGGTGCAACATATAACAATGAGTGCAACATACACTAAGTTAAAGCCTATTTTTCTAAAAATAATAAATCTTCCATTTGAATGTCTGCAAGACATTGCTTAGCTGTAAAGAATCCAAGTTGCTGCCCAGAAGTATGTACAAACCAAGACTCCCACCAGACATTTTATGCAGCTTATGTGACTGTCATGTTTTTAAAATTAAAAGATCACTGCATTGCATAGTCACATGCTGCTTGCTGTCTTCAAAACTGAGACTTCCTGTGGCCACTTCTCCAATTTTTTTTTTGAGCATCATGAATCAGAGTTTTATCTTATGGTGGACAGGAGATAGGAAGAATTTTATCCTCTGCTTAGAAAGTGTGGGTTTGGAGAAAAGAGAGTTTATTCCACTTTCCCCCTTTCCTTTTGTGAAAAGATGGGTTGGATACAGGAAATTAAGTGGTAGGAAACAGTCTAGTTAAACTTCTGATTTTTTCTTGTTTTCGTGTCTCTCTTTCAGATCAATAACAAAGCTTGTGGCAAAGTTTTTGTGCCTCAGCAAGCAGCCCGCAATTTTGAAGAAGTCCATGAGCTCGTTCTTCAGAGTGAACTTGGAGTCAAGCATCTCCAGGGACGAGCCATTAAAAAGGCCTTTCTGTCTCCCAGAACTGCCCTTATCAACTTCTTAGTGCAAGAATAGTAAAGGCTCTACTGGGCTGCAGAAGGGATCTGGAATCTTTTGAGGTGGAAACCAATGCAAAAAGAGCAATTATGGTTATTTCACTTCATGTAAAGGTGGGAAACAAATCTTATTAAAATCAGGTTACTGCTAAATCTTCCTTTCAGTATGGAGAAATGTGCAGAATTAAAGTTTCTTACTGAGTCACAGTAAGATGCTGCTTGTCCTTATTCTTTGGGAGAATGAGAGGGAAGCACAGAACTAAACAATTGTAAGAGAATGTAACTGAAGAAAGCACATGGAGCTTAGTGTCAGCCTCAGGAATATATCCTGTTGGAAAGTTAGCTTGGCTAATTTCAGATGCATAAATGTGATTCCAGGACTAAACAACTGTCCTGAGTATGTGCTACCCCAAATGGTGTGCTTTTCTCCCTGGATTTCATGTTTGGGTACCCTACCATTAACTAGCATTTAAAGTTATAAGGAAACACTACAAAACACTATAAAATACTAGAGTGTTAATTTAAAAAATAATTTCTTTGTGCTGACCAATGGCCTTGGGCACAGCAGGTAACCAGAATGGGGTGGTTTGATATATTTCACATAAATTTCAGAGCCAAGCCAAGAAAAAGGTCAGATTATTTAGCCAAGCCCTGCCTTAGCCAGGGTTCTCCTTCCTAGCTGATGTATTTGTGTTGGCACATGCATGAGAGGTGCAACTTCAGCAAAGTATTGATGATTGTTTCTGCATGGAACAGCAGGGAAGTTACTTCCTATGCATGAGCCATCTCAGAGACTTTCAGGGCACTCAAGAGAGGAATCAGTCAGCTGCTAGAAATGCAGCAGTGGGGAAGGCTCTTGTAGTGAAACTTGAATTGACTTTTTTTTTTTTTTTGAGGGGTTTATTAAGTGAAAATAGCCATCATGTTCCTAAAAATCAATCAGACATTCCTAAAACATAAAGCCATTCTCATGCCTGATTCCAGACAGGGTTATTTGTACACTGCATTGCTGATATGTCCACATGGAAATATTTATTGTCTTCAGCACATGGCTTGAAAAAGAGTTTCCAAGGAAACAGTTGCAGGGTTCATTGTGAAATAATGTTTTTTTCTTTAACAGTCATCCAACTAACTAGTCCAATCAGCCAGCCATTTCTGAGCCATTCTGACAGTTAAGAAATCAGCAGTAACAACCAGCGAGGCAAATACAGAGGTCTGCAGTAACCTTCCAGCCCAGCAGGCATCCAAACTCTGTACTGAATTGAAAGGAAACCAAGAAAAATATCCCACATAACAGTAAATAAGTCTCACAGATCCTCAGCAACCAGGCCCAAGACAGATCACATTGCCATGTGGGCACTAGCTAAGCAATGCCAATATTCATTTGGGGTTTTTGCATTTTTGGTACCGAATATCCAGATGCATAACAGAGATGCCAGGCTTAGCAAGTATGTTTGGCTCTACACATCTCCACCCCTGCAATAAAACTCTTCTGATTCCTGCTTCCTCCTGGACCACACTTGTGCAGATTTTCTCTCCAGCAGTCCTTTGACAGCAGAATGACTAAGAAATGGAATATTTACAATTAAGATATGGTATTTGCAGTTTTAAGACTCCAGAAATCTGAGCCACAAAGGAATCCATTCAGACATTTGAACACAGGCCTTTAGTTGGAGTTAAAATAATTTGAATTCCAGTGCCTGCCTGACATATATGTTGTTATAAATTTATAAAACTCCTGTTCTGAAGCCCCTAAAAGGACTGTGAAAGAGATCCTTTGAAGTAAAATCTGTGGCACAGCCCAGTTCTGCTTTTTTTGTCTTCTTTTTTTTCTTTTTTTTCTTCTTTTTTTCTTTTTTTTTTTAATTTATGTACAAGGCTTACCACACCCTGTGGAACCATTTTTACAGAGTTTTTCTTTGGGGGAAAGGTGACATGTTTGATGTAAATAAAAACTTTATAAATTCTCAAGGATGAAGAAAGATGTTGTAAGGCCAGCAACCCCGTGGTGCCTTTAAACAAAAGCTGCAGTCACTGCAGGGCCAGGCAGCAGCCCACAGTGTTTATTGCTGTTAGCACTTGAAGATATTTGCTCTTGCCTGAGGAAGTGAATTGTAGATGTCACTTGGTGATTCAGGCAAAAATCAAAATAGGGAATGGCTTTCTACAGGCTAAAAAAGGAAAGGTAGTGAACAGCAGACTCAGAAAAAGCGTAAGGTCAGAAGTCCCGCCAGTGTGTTTACAGTAAGTTGTAATTCAGTGTGGTCCAGAGGATACAAAAAAGGTGGTGAAAGAGTGAGTGAGAGAGATGATGCAGACAGTGTGACAGAGCCTAATCCCCTGCTAAGTGTATGTTTGAAGGCTGGCAGAGGTGCCAGCTGCGGAGCTTTGCTGTGTGCTGACATTTCTTACAAGGGTGAGCTGCTCTGCAGCACAGTTACCGTTTGTCCTACAGTAATTGTGACTCACAGGTTCGGTCTGTGCCTAGATGGGTCTGATAATGATTCACAGGCTGCAGCCTGTTACCAAGCCTTTGTAAAATAACTCAGCACAGAAGTGTTAATTATTTGGCAGTTGTTATTTGTGCCACAGTAGAGAAGCATCTTGATGCTGAAGGTGGTACATATAGATTGTGCCCCCTTGGAGAGCTCAGTGGGTGAATAGTGCTGGAGTCTGGGCAGGGGACTCTTGAGAAGTGAGAAGGAAAGGTGCTGGCAGGTGATCAGTCAAATTGCACTGCATTCACACACGTTAATAATGACATGGTGCCACTGTCCTTATTCCATGAAGTGAGATCCAGAGATGATGTGGGAGGTTTGCTAAACCCAGTGGGATAGACCCAAGACAAGCTGCTCCAAGAAACAAATCCATGACACAGAAAGGGCATTTTCAGCATCCTGTCCATCTAAGGGATAGAGGATTGGTTGTTGCACTGATCCAATGTATACTAAATTTCTATTTTAAGTAATGTCAGATTTAAAGAATAATTACCGCCACACTTTCCACTCAAAATTGTTCATGTAACTAAACTTAAAAAAAATCCAGCCCCCAAACATTGATTCCGGAAAAATAAAAACTAGCAAAGTCCTGAAAGGTCACCAAGTAGTTTTCCTATTCCATTGATTTCATGAGAAAGGATCTCAGATGCTGGAACGACGGGGGCACTGAAATGTGCTGGAAGACACCACTGTGTAGAAAAATGTGTTATTTGGTGTGGGTGAGAACGGAGGTGACATGGACACACCCGTGGTGCTCTGCAGCAAGGCAACAGGGCTTTTTCTATCACATTAAAGGACACTGCTGCAGGTTAGGTCACTAGCTAAGAGATCTCTATCCAGCTTGTTCTTTGGAAAAAAACCCTGTTCAGGGGCATTGCTGGACAAGCATTTATATTTTCATGATCTTTATCAGAACCCAAACATGGAGATTTGGTGCAGAATAAAAACTCTGTGCTCTCTTACCAGACTAAAGTAATGCTCCAGAACTGAAATCAGGTTAATAATGGCATTTTCTGATGTGACTTTGTAAAGCCTGCTTGTTTATTTTGGAGGGAGAATTTCCACAGATAAGGCAGGTCCTACAGTCTCTCCTCTTTGTCTCTCCTTCTGTGTAAAGCCTCACAGAAAGCTTTTCCTATTCTATAAACCTTTCATAACCAACATGCACTAGAAAGAATGTTAACTAATGCACTGCTGGTTCCTTCCTAGGGAGGTTTGCAGTATGGGAGATTTTTCTAAAAGCTTGCTATAAATGAAGAATTTGGGCTGGTTGGTGTGTTGGCGTTTTGGTTTTGATTTTTTTTTTTGTAGTTTTGCAATACTTACTACAGTTTACAGATGGGATTACAGATGGGATACAGTTTACAATGGGATTGGTTTTATTCATATTTATTTACCCACTTGGAAGAGTATATATGCTGGCTTTGCTGGATGCTTTTTCTGCTTCCATGTTTCATCAGTCCTCTCCTTCAATGATCTGAGCTGATTTTGTACCCAAGGACTGAGCTGGACAAGTGTTCAGTGTTAAACCAGGTCTATGACCACAGAACCTGAGTGGTGAATATACATACTATCAGTCTGCTTTTGACCTTAAAAAATGTTGTTGGAACTACACCGTGGTTAGTTTTGGGGTTTTTTCATGGAAATGGGGTTCATGTCTCAAAGAAGGATGAAGCTGATCACAGTCAATCAGAGGGAGTTTTAAGCATCTCCCAGCCCTAGCAGCAGGAGAAATGAGCTGAAGCATTATCTCAGTGTAGGAGGGGAGAGGATCAGAGCTCTCATCTGCAGTCCAGATGATAAAAGAGATCTTGCCTGACATGTGGAGGAAAGGTGGGAATTTTTTTCCCTTTCCTGAATAATGTGGCTTTCCGGTATCACAAAGCAGTCTTCAGTGCACTAACCCTGTCTGTCCCAGGAGGCCCCCAGTCACACACCACCTTTGTGACTCGTGGCACTTCTCTCACTCAGGTAAGCCTCGGGCTGGAAAACTTCAGGTCTGGTTTGAAGCCCTGGGGAGTTGCCATCCATCACCATCTTCCATACAAAGTTATCCAGGACATTTCCTGGCATGCTCATCTGCCTGGGCCACACCAATTTGCTCTCTCTGCTGAGCTGCTGCGTTTCTCACTAAGCAAAGGAATGTGTAAATGGGGCAGGCTTAAGTACAATGAGTTGAATATTCACACACTGCTTGTACTAGTGGTGCTCAGCCTGGGCAAAAGAAATTCTTTTATATGAGGAGCCTGGTCTTCTTCACTATAACTAAACAAAACCTGTGCATTTACGTGAGCAGAAATGTGTGCTTTGTGCTTGCTCTCTGGGCTGGCTGCAGGGGAGGGGCCCACACTCACATACAAGGCTCTGAACTTCCTCATCTGCCAGTAGTTTTTTACACGTGCCAAAACCAAGCGTAAGAGGTCCGGGGTTGTCCCTACACCCGTGTCCCACTGCCAAAGGAGACACGCAAGCTGCTGAGCAAAGGGAGTTGCTTTTCAGTAACTCTGCCTGGTGCCAGCAATACATGAAGCAAAATACATACAAGTCATAACATAATCCACTGATCAGGAGTAATAAACACAGGACACATAACTGGGGCAGAAAAAGAGAGTGATTTAATAAAGGAACGTGACACATTACTGGCAGTGGCAGCCTGGGTTTGTTTCTGATGAAGATTAAGAGAATTGGCATAACAGGAAATTGTTTTCTGCTACAAAGGAAAATCAATTGTCTTTAAGCACATAGCGGTGTAATTAGCAAATCTTACTAATTGCCACAAAACAGAAACACAAGTGTGTGTTGCTGGGCTGGTTAAGCCAAGGAAAAGATCTGTAGAAGCTTTTAGAAGTGAATATTTTCCTTAAGTACGTCTCCATCCCTGGAGAGCCACATCGCTGGATGAAATAGCAAGGGTACAACAAAAACATGTAATTCCCAATTTTCCCATGTGAAAGAGCATGTAAAAACATCTGTTAGTCAGAGAGCTTCTCCTAGGACATGCACGGAAGAACAGAGTGGATGCACTGACTGCATCTGGCAAATCCACTCGAAGTCCAGCAGGCCACGTGAGGCCGATGACTGATGGCAGGATGTCGTCTGACCTGTGGAGTGCTTCCAGCCCAGCATTACTGGAGGCCACGTCTGTTGGTTAAAAAGGTCACGGTGCTGTTTGTGTTAATGCACTGATAAAGAGGCAGGGAAACAGAGCTGGAAAATTCTTCAGGCGAGCTCTTGTTCTGATAAAAGGCTCTTTTCAGTAGAAAATGGAGAAAACAAACTATTCCACATTCTTTTGAGCAGGGGTAGGAAAACCGACAGAGCTGTCTGCATCAGTTGGTGTAAATCCGCAGCCACTGAAAGGAAGCGTTCTGGCCCCATGACAGCAGAGGGAGACCAATGACTCCAACACCACTGGCACCTGGGGAAACTGAGGAGAGGAAGGTAAAGGTTCTTGTCTGCCCCAGAGCAGCAGCCTGGCACCCAGCTCTGGCCTTCCTCACAGAGAGCGAGCTGCTGCAGCTCGGGGATCTACAGCTTCTCTCTCTGCTGCTTCCTGGGTTCCTGTTTGGATCTTGGTCATTCCCCATGGCTTCTCTAACCTTCCCAAGGTGTGGCCTGCCAAGTAACCCTCCCTGCCTCAGTTTACCCACCTGTAGGCAGGGCCCACAGCATCCCTGCTGAACTGATGCTGCAGGTGCAGCTAAGAAGGAACTGCCTCTCCTGAAAGGCAGTGTGCAAAGGTGTGCCTGTACTGCCCTGGCCTTTATCTCCCATTAGTGTTAATTACATTCGTGTTAATTAATACTCCTAGCATAATTCCCTGCCAGAGATAATGCCCTGTGGTAAGCACTTGTAGCACAGCAGGATCCAGCAGAAATGTCTGGATCCATTTCTGCCCTGATCCCAAGGGCATGGGATGCACCCACCCAGGCTGCATGGTGGGCACCTGTGCTGTCCCAGTGCCCAGGCTGCCCCTGCAGCTTGGGGGTTCAGGGTGCAGGCAGCAGGCACGGCAG